AATGTGTGAAGAGGATGAAACTGACAAAAATGTTTACTGGTGGACTTAAGAAAAGATAAAAAATATTTCCAAAAAAATAAGGCTCACATTGCTAGTTGAAAGCATTCCCATTTTTGCACATTTAAAGACCCAAACAATAATAAAAAGCATGATCTCATTAGCACAAATGTCAAGATCCTCTCTTCAAAAAACACATGATCCTGTTTGCACGGATTTGAAGACCCCAAATATATATATATATATATATATATATATATATATATATATATATTAAAAAACCACAATCCTTTTTGCACAAATTGCCATCACCCTTAACCCTACCTTTCATTACCTTCCCAGAGTGACACACTACAGATTGAGTTGATGCCAATGAGGAGAAACAGTTGAGATACAGCTAAATCTGCAAGAACTGAACTAGTAAAATTTGTCAAGTTTTTACCCCAAAACAGAATTCTCACACATCCACAAAGGAGATGAGTTTAAGGCAGGGGTTGGCAACCCGGGGCTCCGGAGCCACACATGGCTCTTGAATCCCTCTGCTGTGGCTCCGTCGCTCAAAACGCGCCAGCACAGCCGCTGATCTGCTCGAAGCTCCACTCAGGAACGCAGCGCTAGCTAGTTAAGTAAATCAGCTAGTTAAGTAAATCGCTACATTCCTCTGCTAAACAAGCTTCCTGCAGGCTTTCATGTTACATGAAAAGATTCTCTTTGTCTCAGTGTAATTTCCTTCATCTGAATGTTAAAAGCTGCGCTTGGGACCTGTCACAATTCACAGCACTTGACTGTCTATCTGCTAGTCAGTCACTAAACACACCTGTATCTCCAGCACAGCGGACCTGCCACCGATTTACTGAGCTCCCCCACACCCCTTAGGCCAACCAAGGATAAACTGAAGAAATGAAAAGTTTCTGAAGAAAACCAAATGTTTAATGATACGTGGGTAGATTCATTTGCTTTTACTGCTGATGAACTTATGGGGTTTGCTAGTTAATGCATGCAGCCCTTTAGCACTGACTTTGACTCTTCAGGAAGCTGTTCTATTCAAAATATATGAAAGGAGCCCTACTAGTTTATAATGTAAGATTAAAAATAACAGTTTTTAGTGACTGAACAAGAGCTGCAGCTAAATCATAATGAAGATATACATAGCATTAAGGTAAAAACGATATATGCAGTGTTATCTTCATTTTAGATGTCAAAAGGGTTTTGCGGCTCCCGGTGTTTTCTTTTGTGTGGGAAACGGGTCCAAATGGCTCTTTGAGTGTTAAAGGTTGCTGACCTCTGGTTTAAGGTATAAATAGATTTGTACAGTTGTGTGTGTGAGTGATAGTAACTATCTTCACTTTCTTTTTCAAGAAAGGAACACAGATGCTCAAAGAAATTTTGAAGATAGATGCTTCTGATAAAGCAGAAACAAAGACAGCAACTAATGAAGTTTCTACTTTCTCTAGTAGGCAGGATTTTCATGAACCTGCCTCACATCATAAACATACAAAAAAGATGGGTAAGTTCTCAAGAAAATCTATTTTTTAAGATTTTTGGAATATTTTACAGATGCTATTTTGTTGTTATTTTGGTTATGTTACCATTTAACATTCAAGTAAGTTAAATACTCTTGATTTCTTTAAGCACTGAGAATATATCATTTTCATATTTTATATTTTTCTTTTATAGCAGCTTTCATGAACAAATCCGTTAGCACAGGGGGGTCTCAGAACACTCAGATTATGGAAACTGGAGGCCACCCACTTCTTGGACAACCAAACCCATTGTCTACTCCTGTATCTGAACTTTCTCGTACCTGTTCCCTTGTTGGAATGCTGCAGCCAGAATTCTCATTCTTTCGAACCCCCCAGGTAAGCATAATTTTGAATAGTTGACCAGCTGAACAAATGAACCACTATCATCAGTTACTGAAACTCCAGCAAAAATAGTTTACATTGTCTGCTCAATTCAAAACGAAAACAAAAATCCATGAGCATAATTGCATGAAAGCTGTTAACAGGCCTATAACATACTATTTCGTGTTCTGTATATGCCACCCCCTCCAATCTACATGCGTTACACTAACAGATCTTTTCACCGTAGTCATCAGGTTGGATCCAGTGGTGCCTCTATTAGAACAGGTTCCCCCTTGTTTCTGTAGCCCCCATGCCTGAAATTTGCTCTGGAGGATTGTGGGACCAGAGGCACATGAGGGATAACAGGACATAGAACTCCAGTTGTATGAGTGGAAGAGTGAGATTGTGTTTAGCCCTTCAACGGTGGTTTGAATGTCAGCTCTTCCTCCTCCTCCTCCTCCTCCTCCATGAGCCACCCAGGGTTACAAGACAAGGAAACTGTACACTTTTTGTTAAAATTTTGTATGAAAAATATAGTTGCTTAGAACACCATTTTGTGTTTCTTCCACAGACAATGACAGTTTGTCAAGTAAAACTGTCAAATGGTTTATTAGTACATGGACCTCAATGCCATTCTGAAAATGAAGCCAAGGAGAAAGCAGCATTTTTTGCTTTACAGCAATTGGTGAGAGCAATAATCAAAATGCCTTACAAAGACTTGGAAGAGCTTTTTCTCATTTTTACTTAGTTATGGTTATTATTTAACAAACATTAAGCATCCTTTTTCATACAGAGCTCTTTTGGGATGAATTTTCCTCTGCCACTGCCACCACCACCACCAGTATTTCCAAATTATCAACCTATGGGAACTATTGTGCCACCTGGATCCATTCCACCAGTCTTCACCCAGCACACTGGTAAGTCTGATTAAATTAAACTTCTTTGTGTGCAGTAGAGTGGACAAAGAAGATGTGAAAAATCAGTATTTTCCATACTATAAGATTGTACATCATATTTTGAATCTTTTGCAATGCATATGCTATTTAATCCTTTTCCATAGTTGTTGAATCATGACCACTTCTTTGGCCTTTTCAAAAGTGCTTGAAAAGGACAGGCAGCCTGTCCTTAGGCAGCCTCTGGATTAGGCAGTCAATGGAATGAATGTAGCAATCAGCCTAATTTCAAAGCTTCTACAGATCTCAGTTCTCACGCATCTGGCAAGAGTAATTTGTTCTTCTCACTGGATGGGAGGGAAAAGTGATTTAAGGAGAGGAAAGGGAGTGGCAGAAAACAAGATGATGACCTTGGTTATTGTTGGCTTCTGACAGTATGCAGTCCCTGACAGATTATGCACAAAGGAATGCAAGCTTTATCAGAAAGAAGGTTCTCTATCCCATCCTATATGAAACATTATTAACAACTGAGTAACTGCACAGGCTTTGCATCTTTAGGTCTGGAATTATCTATTGTTCTTTATAAAAAAAAAGAAAAAGAAAAGAGTAATGAATGAAAAGTTATTCAATATGTCTCAGAAATGTATCGTGTTTTGTGAAGACTGCATCTTGTTCTCAAGTAAATGAAAAATGTATGAGATACGTTTCAGGAGGTCAGATATTCCTTGTAGAATTTAGAATTTATATGGGAGGGGATTGTTGGAGTGTAATATCTTACAATTTTTGAATTAGTAGTAGAATATAAAATGAATTAATTATTTTGACAGCTAATTTGTTTCCTTCACCATCTCATGCATTTGGCCCAGTGCCATGGGGAGGACCAGTTCATGGCAAACCTTATTATCCTGCTTCATATCCTGGAAATATTCCTTTTGTAGGCAGTGTACCCATTGGCACACACAATCAGTTTATACCTTTGCAGGTAAGTGCTACAATAATTGCACATGTGTACATACTTTGTTATGCTGTTCACATTTCAGAAAAAATAAACTCAATTCTTTTTTTAAAGGTAACTAAGAAAAGGGCTGCAAGCAAAATTAATTCTGAGGCTAAGGAATTCCCACCTTCTCTTCAAGATGTGCAGTTAAGGAATGAACAGTCAGTTTCAGACTCAACTAAACTGAATCTACAAGATGTTTCTTCAGATCCTTTAAGATCTCCACCTCAAGCTACTCAATCTATAGCACCCTTTCAAGAGAAAACAGCTTCTCAAAGTTCAGTTGTGTCTCGTAAAAAATCAACACCAAATGTTTCTTCCAAGCGAAAGTCAAGAAAATTGGCTGTCAATTTTGGTGCACCTAAAACTTCAGAATAAAGATGGTACATGGATAACATTAACTATTGATGGATAACATCCTTAACTATTATGAAAAGGAGGAAATAAATTATAATAATTCAAGAGAGGCTTTAAATTGTTAATATTTTTGTCAGTTACATTATTTTTAAAAATGATTATGCTCACTAAAGAAATTGACAACTTGATTAAACCAGGAAACCCTGAATTAAGGGAACTAGCCTAGCCATTGTGCCTAGGTCTCTAAAAAGTGGTTTTTATATCCTATCCCAGCAGAGGAGCAATAATATTGTCATGGCTGTCCTAATGTAGAATTTTGTTGTTTAAACCAAGAGATGAAAGGCTTCTGAAAATACAAAGCATGATTGTTGATGTTATGTCTCCTTTTTAATTATAACTTCTAAAGGTGATTTATTTATATGTACCTTGTGTATTTGATTTCTATATTCTCAGATCCTTTTGATCTGATAGTGTGTGAATAGATTCTAACTATTGTGGCACTGCCAGCTTTGCTTGGTGCAATGTTGATTTCAAAGAGTTATTCCAAAACAACTTAATAAATTAGACATTGCCTATCAGCAATTATTGTAATACACTGTCTTTATCTAGATGGCACCATGAGCAAGCCACTGATGGATGAAAGCAGAGTGAATAAATGCTTCAGTAATGATTTACAGAATGCAGACATATTTAAGAAGTACCCCATAATTGTATCAAGTTTAATTTTGTAAATGACTGTCTGTATGCTGCTCAACCATGACAGTGGCCCTGTTTGACTGTAAGAACCACAAATTAACCCATGACTTGTTTTGGTGTTAGCTTATGCTTGTTTAACCCAGAGACAACCCCATGTCCATTTGGATGTCATGAAGGAATTGGAGCATTGTTAATGCAAACAGAAAGTGGTTTGGACACAGTTTGTCATGTCCAAAAGGAGTCACAGCCTCCACTGCAGATCTGGTTTTGTTCTTAACACAAATATTTTTAAATACCTTTTAGTACTTCCCTTCTCCTGTTTGATTAAATAATGCATTTTCATAAATATAAATAAGCTTTGCCATTCAAAATTGTGTTTCTACAGACTAGATTTAAATTTTATCATTTTTAAGAGGAAGACAGTCAATGCAAACTAACTAGTATTCAGATCCAAACATTGTCTTGGTACTAACAATGTCTTCATATAGTCTAATGTTCTTCAGCACACATTCATATTTCTTATTTTGTTAGAAGTAAAATAGTAAGCTGTTTTTATAACTAATTTGTAAACTGCCACAATTCTCTTTTTAGCACAAGCAATCTCAGTGGTTGTACTGTGTAGATAAGCTGCAGTCTTTAACACTGCTTTTTCAGCGAATCCCCGTGTAGGACAATGATTTCTAAACAGTGCTGTTAGTTTATCATAGCTCCAAGTATGTGCACAGCTATTTAAATGTAAGGTTCCCTTTGTGCTCCAACCCTCTAGTTCTACCCCTCAAACTATATATATTTATATATGCACATACTCTTTCTGTCATGCAGATTAAAATTCATGAAAAATCAATGAAAAGCAGCATGGTCTTTAGTTTGAGGATATTTTCACATAGCATGTAAGACATGGGCAATTACCACATAACTATGGGCCTAATCCAGTTAAAGTGAGAAATGCTTCCCCTCTCACATGATTTCAACAGTGAACATAGGCTTAATGCAGACATTTACATTAATAGAAGTGCTTTAACACAGGGCACAGTTCAGCTATATTTACATTGATACAATCTGGCATATTGTATTCATTGATACAACTGTTTCAACTGTTTTTCAGCTCAGGTTGTATGTTATTTTTACCTCAATCTCTGGAGCATGACTATGGATTGTTAACTGTCAGAGAGAGAACTGATTTGATTTACCAGTGTGTCTGAGATGCTACTTCAAATTTTCATTTGTTTGCATGTTAGGGCTATATATGGCTAACTTTGGCATTGGAATCTCTTCTATACTAAAATAGGTAAGATTTACTGTGGCTTCTGCTGTCTGTATACTAGAACTAGACACAGAAAGAAGGATTTGTTGAAATTGAAATCTCAGAACCAGCAAAACCATCTATCTGTTGGTACCCTTATACCAGAAATTCTGTTTTGAATTGAACTAAAACTGTCCAAGTGTATCATCATCCTGGTTGTCATCTGTGCTTTGCATTTGTATCTGTTCCATTATGTTTTGTTTTCCGTTAGTCTGCAGGACTGGTATTAGTTTCCTTATATCTGGTATCCAGTATTTAAATGTTTACCTAAGAGATAATTGGCTTATGACATTTTATCCATTATTTCAGTTTAATTTTGATAAAGGTATAATTGCTGATTTTCTCTCAAAGTGTATTTTGTAAATGCTGGATTTTTTCACTAAGATCTTGTACAGAGCAGTATTTTATTAAAATCCAAAAGGGAAGACATATGCACATTTTTATAATTTCTTTTTTAAATAGAACTTTGTCTATTTGCCAAGTAAAATGTTTTAAATTGGCATGAATATGGAGTGTATTTTTGTGTATAGTGTTGTGCATTTCAAAATTCTAGCATGTATTTGTGCAAAGGTTTGTGCAAAGGTATTTTAAATACAAATGTAAAAATATGCATCGAGGCAAAATATCAAATAGATTAAATGCTCTGAACAACTTTACTACAATAATTTTATAGAAGACTTAGCCTCTGCTTGCATTAAAAATACGAACTATTTCTTGTGTTTCAGTAGTTATTGTATTGGCCAACTGGCATGACACATGGCTTAAGTTTCATTTTGGGTAGGGGGATTGGATAATAGCTATCTTTGTTGAATATTAAGATCAAGCTTGGTATCTGCTATCATTCTACAATTCTGCATTCAGTCATCCATTTTCCAATGGAGGCTGGAAAAATGCAATTCAGTTCATTCACTTTAAAACTGTTTCCTTGTTAGAAGGTTTTGGAAGAAAGTGGGAATAAAGATGACCATAATATAACTTGAAATCCATAGTATTGAAAATACTATTCTAATAAGGCACCATTGGAAACAACACAGATTCTCTTACAGTTTAGATGTGATTTTTCTGTTTGATATCTGGTAATTCACTGTGTTGGCTATGTTTGATATTGGCTGAAATTTGGGGTGTACATTCATAACCCAGCTCTATAGTTCAAAGTCATCTAAAGGCACCAACTTGCCTTTAAAAGTGCCAGGAAAGATTTAAAACAGCCTCTCCCAAGCTGATGCTTTCCAGATGTGTTTGGCTGAAGCCTTCATTAGCCCCAGCTAGCTGGGAGTTGTGATCTAATGCATTTGGAGAGCACCAAGTTGGGACATGCTGTCAAACATTTTAATAGCTTAAATGTTGGTATATTGTGAAAATGTAAAAACATCCATGCTGGTTCAAATCAATGGTCCATCCAGTCCAGCAGTCCATTCATACAGTGGCAAATTAGCTTTCTACAAGATTCCTCAAGCAGGCTGGATATAAGAGTTCCACCTACCTGAGCTCCCTAGCAACCAGTATATACAGGCATACTGCCTCTGATAACAGAGGTAGCACATAGCCAACAAAGAGAAATAGCCCTTGTTTTGTTGAATCCCCTTTTAAAGCCAAATTGATGGCCATCACTACTTCTTGTGGCAATCAATTACATAAGTTAATTATGTGCTGTAAGAAGTACTTCATTATATTTGTCCTGAATCTCCCACCAGCTACCCAGGTTCTTGTATTATGGGAGAGGGGGAAAAATGTGTTCCTCCCACTTTTTCCATAGCATATATCATTTTAAACACCTCTATCATATCTCCCCCTACTCTTTTTTTTCCTAAGCTTAACTATCTCAGTTGTTGCAAATGTTCTTCATAGTGGAGTTGCTCTAGCCCTTCCATCATTTCAGTTGGCCTTCTCTGCACTTTTCCCAGCTCAGTAATCTCCTTTATCTGCACTTTACAGGTGCAGTGACCAGAACTGTACACAATATTCTAAGTACAGTCACACCAAAGATCTGTATCGGGACTCGTCAGTTCTGTTTGATTTAGGGAGGCATTCAAACAAATCTGGGATTGTGCATTAAGGCAGGATCACATGCCTATGATCTTTAGAGTATTGTATACATCTGCTCTAAGAATGCATGCTGGTCCTCCTCAGAACAACCCTGTGTGGTTGGTTAGGCTGAGGTTCAATGAGTTACCCAGCCAGCTCTAAGGCCTATACACTCTTATTTGATGCAAGTCAGGCAACTCCCCATTTAGGGCTAACCAAAAAAGCCACAAAAGAGTGGCATACGGTTACAGCTTCCCAATATAACTTAAGCTGTGGGGGGGGGGGGGAGTTAACGACCCTAGAAATAAGCCCCATACATTCCAACTGGGCTTTGTAGCAACTAAACCCCGAGGCTGCAATCCTTCCTCCGAGGAAACCAAATAGGCGGGAAGGTTCACTTTCGGCAGAATGACTCAGGCCGCCGCCTCGTTCCCCACCACGGATTCCTCCTTTCCCCGCTTACTCCCCACTGACGCCGCGGCCGTCGCTTCGCATTTTCCGCTCCTCGAGGGCCCGCCGCTCGAGAGGCGTGTCGGCGCTTGCCTTCAAAAGGGCTGGTTCTTCGCTGCGCCCTCCCTCGGAGGCCGGGGCGTGCGTGGCGCTGTTCGGTTCGCGCAGGACCGAGCGGCTGACAGGCAAAGCGCTGGAGAGATTTCCCGCCTCAGCCGCCATGACGCCCGCGGAGGAGCCAGGCAAATACATCTTGGGGATAGACATCGGCAGCACAGTGATCCGGTGCCATGTTTACGACAAGTCGGCGGTGCTCAAAGCATCTAGTGCTAGCCAGGTAACTGTTGTGGATGGACCATCTTGGGCAAGGAGGGAAGCGTGCGATCAAAGTTTCTGCAGCCCAATCACTAGACAGTCCCAGTCTGTTCATTAGTTCTTGCTCCCAGGTGCGTGCTACAGGACTGCACTCCCAGCAATGCAGGGTACAGGATTGCAGCCTAAGGCTCAGTTTTGTTTACTTCTAAGTAAAGATGTTGCTGCTTGTACTGTTAAGGGGCTTCTTCCCTGCTTTTTAAATGCCTTTGGTTTTTGCGACATCCTTCCCTAACAGCTGCTTCCTGCCTGTAGTTTTTCCTCAGGGTAGTAGAGTCTCCGCGTTCAATTGCTGCTTCACTGAATAAAGAGAGAATAATCTGGGTTGTTTTCCATCAAGGTGGCTTTAAGCATGCTCGCTACCTTGCAGATCCTGTTGCATTTTTGTGCCTCCTTTCTTGTACCCTAATCTTAGGCAATGAGTAGATAACAGCTTGCAGAATGATTGTATGTCAGCAGAAGCTATGTAAGCAACCTTCCTGACCTCAAATAGCCAACACGACAGGAGGGAGGAATACTGAAGTTCACTGCGTTAAATGTTCAAAATCCTGTGCTTACCAGCAGTATGGATAACCGCTGTTGTGATTGTCGCGTTTCATAATTTGTGTTGAAATTCCTTCTGATCTCACTGTTTACAGTTCTCCCCCACCCACCCCAATCATATGTACTGGGTATAACCTAAAGCTTTCCATTTTACTTTCTGCATCTGGTGAAGCCAGTTCTAGTCCACAAAACTTCTACCAGGAAAAGAATGTTAAGCTTTCAGGTGTTGTAAATAATTTGTTTTATAGGAATCGGGGCTTCTTTTTAAGTACTTTCTGTTGCTCTTGGTTCAAGTGGAACACTACAGTGCTAAAGTACAGGAAGGTTTTTCTTGATCAAATATTGGTTTGAAAGCAAGTTTCAGTGAAGTGTTTTACCTTGCTATCACAGAATAGAGACTTTCAAGCTTTGCTATCACAGGACATTCCCATATCCTGAAAATAAACTACCTGTGTTTAGAAGACAGAGTTAGGTTTCAGATTGCTAAAGCTGTGGTGAATGAAAAAAGAATCCAGGAGTTAGAATTCCAGGATAATGATGGTACAAATAGTTGTTGTTGGTACATTTAGAACACATTTTGTTTGGAAATATTATGTTACAGATGCATTGTACAGATACTATTTAATGTCTTTTTTTGTACTTGTGGTGTACTTGTTTCCAAGTGAGCACAGTTGTTGCAAACCTCATCTTCTTTCTTTGATTATTCTTCTATGCTATGTTTCTCAGATCAAAGAATCGTAGTGCTATGCTCTCTCCCTCTCCCTTACTTTTGACCACTAGCTAACAGAGTGTCTTTTGACTGGGATATACAGCTTTCTTTTCTAACCAAAGGGGGGAAAATAATTAAATAGAACCTCTTTTTAAAGGAACCCAGAATCAGCCTGTCGGAACTCTTTTTGGCAAGAAGGTGGGGGGATACATTGTTACACTTTCTGAAGCACCTAGAGCAGCGGTCCTCAAACTTTTGGAATAGGGTCCCAGTTGAAAGGCTGTGGTGCCTGGGTGCGGGCCAGTGAGGTACCGTCGGGCGCACGCTCGGTGGCATTGGGCATGAGTGGCAGTGTGGCTCCCTTGCTTGGAGAACTCCCAGCGAGTCCAAAACCATCTCCGAGCGAGTGAACCACCACCTCCCCGCCCATGCTGCGAGGCAGCGACGAGCGCACGCATATGGGAGGCAGGTGGTAGTGGCAGCTTGCTCACTCGGGGACCATCTCCGAGCAAGCAAGCCACCACCTCCCCGACGGTGCAGCAAGCACGTGCTTGGGTGTCGAACGGCAGCATGGGCTGAATGGATGGCCATGGCGGGCCGGATCTGTTCTGCGGGCCATAGTTTGAGGACCCGTGACCTAGAGGATTGGGGGAAAGGGCAATATGTCACTAACCCATGAATTACTATGGCAAAAAGAACAAAGAAATGCCTTTTTAAATGCTTCCAAGAGAATCCAAAGGAGGGAAGCATTTGAAGCCTCCTTTGGAGGATATAAAGGGCTTCATATTGCTGTTTGTTGGCATCAGACACCTCAGAACTTTATCCCAGCTGAGGCTTGTGGTAAATTCATTTTTCAAAATTAACCAATACCTTGTGAATAAAAGAATTGACAGTCACTTAGGCACTTTGAAGGGGTTGTCAGTGGCTGTCGAAACAGGGATTATGAAGGCTCCTCCCCATCATCTAAATTGAACTTGCAAAAAAGCCAGATGTGCCAAAAATGGCTTGGGGATTGCAGCAAGAAGAACAGCAAGTGCCAAGTATCCTCAAGTGCTGCTTGAGCACTTGTGGGGCAGCTGGCAGTAGTCGGGACAAGCTCAGGAAGTGCAGCAAAGGTTTTTGTCTCCCTTGCTGTGCACCTTGTAAACCTCTGAACTTTACCCATGCTATGGTCATGACGCCCCACAATGGGTAAAACAACCCAGAACAGCCCATGGGTTATCAGGATGATTTGCTTATGTTAGAAGAGGAAGCAAGCATGAGCAACCTGGGCTGGGTTAACCTGGGCCTAGGATTATGCATCTAGGATTTACTCTGCATGAAAGCAGCATGATCCAATATCCTGTGTGACAATTTATGTGGATATTGACCATTAATTTCTAATGTCTGTCATTTAATTTCTGTATGTTGTATGTTGGTTTGGGAATTATTAAAGAAGAGAATACAAATTATAAAGGTAAGACAGAAGAGCTGTCAATGAAGGGATTTCGCAGTACTGTATACGAAGTGGCCTTTTGATAAGTTCGTCAAAAACATAAGTCATATTTTTGTTTGGGTCTGATTGCCTGATAATCCTGTGTTTTCCATTAATAGGTAGAAATCCTTTATCCTCAGCTAGGTTGGGTTGAAATGGATCCTGAAAATCTGTGGACACAATTTGTTAGTGTGGTCAAAAATGCAGTTAAAGGTAAGCAAGCTGCTAAACAGTAACAATTCCAATATTGCAGTGTTCATATTATCCTGATCTTTATATCCTGCTTTTCAGGGACTTCAAAAAGCAGCTCACAAATATCAGTAATCTCAAAGCTGAGTTATTAAGCAAAAACATAATGTTTGATAGCTTATATCATGTCTTAACTTGTATGTTTACAGTCAACAAAAGTTATTGGGTGAGGTGGTATGTCTAAAAGCAAAATTCAGTGCATGCATTTACTCAGAAGTAAGCCCCTCTGAATTCAGTAGGGCTTAACTCATAGGCAAGTGTGATTGGATTGCAACTGATTTCAGAAATGAAAAATAAGAGCTCTCCCAAATAATTTGACGACAATTCCTAACAAGCATGGGTATGTATAGGTCTATACACTCTATATAAGCCAATGCATTCCATTAGTATTTAAAGCTGGTGTATTTGCAGTAATAGTATTTGGAGTCCTTGTAAGTATTTTGCAGAACTGGCTGTCTAACACAGCCCCTTCATTCTGGCTAATTATTGTACATGTTTTCGTTTCTGTTATGTAAATAGCAGCTGCCAGGGAAGGGAATGGTGAGGGAAGAAAAAAAATCCCATTTCTAAAATATGCTATTTACTTTTCAAGAGACATTGCCAAAGTTTTTTCCCAAGGCCAATGGTTTCTTTTAAATTTAAATAGGCTTCCCTGGTTTGTTATTTTTGTAACAAAAAGGATACACTTTATATTTGACTTTACCTGAATTTCTCTTGACTGGGGTAGAACCTCAGAGCTTGGGGCCAAATCCAGCCCACTTGATTCCCTAGAGGGGTCACACAGTGTCCCATCCCCATTCCCATGGTGATTTCCTGTCTTTGTGTAGTTTGTTCTCATTCTAACAGGCTGAAATGCATCACTTAGTTACATAGGCTTAGGTACTGGCAGTAAGAACTTTAAGCTAAAACATGCTGGTGGTGGTGATGGAGGTTGTTGTTGTTTGCCTTTGCTCCCTTTCAATTTAGTCTGTTTAGCTGCTTGCAGAACAGAATAGGTGGGGTATGCCTTATGTGGACCAGAATCTATTGCCAGCTCCACTAGTGGATGTACAGCTTTGGATACTGCCCCCTGACAGGTGGGGGATCACTTAGACAGTTTGCTAGAAACATCTGAAAGTAAAATGAAGACCTAAGCATATGGGACAGGCATATATTAGTATATCTAAGGTGTATGTGATGAGCAAGGCGTACAACATGGTTTGCTGATCAGATCAAGAATCCCACCCGTCTAAAGCTTTTCTTACAGCGTCAGGTTTTCAGCGGCCATATGTCAGAGCTTTCACTCATTTTGTCATGACACATCCCTTTGTGTTGCTTATGTTGCACCACAAATTGGAGATGACTTCATTGTGCAACTTCTTCGAATCACATGCCCATGACTCTTTCAATCACCATTTTGTCCCGTTAAATTTAATTAAATGTTCTATGAATGAGTATGCATGAACAATTTAAGATACTAGAGCTACATTACTACACTTGTTTCCTTGTTCAATGTTTCATCTTTTCTTTTAGCTGCAGGAATTCAAATGAGTCAAGTTTCTGCTCTTGGACTCTCAACACAGCGTGGAACTTTCATTACATGGAACAAGTATGTAGAATGCATGCTGGTTTTGACAGGTGCTTGTTGCTCTTGTGGTTCATTTGTTAATGTAAGCCGTCGTGAGATATTTATATAAAGGATGGCATATAAAAGCTTTTGATAAATAATTGATAAATAAATAAGAAGGTCTAACTATTTTCCCCTAGTAGATGACAGTGGTTCAAAAGGAGGTTTTATTAGGTGGTTTGTCACCTGCACAAGATTGATTGACTATGTCCAAGTCCTGTGCCTCAGCACTTGATCATCCTGCTGTATAACCTGTATTTTGAACAAGAATTTTAGGACCGAACATGGAGAAGCAGAATGGTTTTCTATGGGCAAAGAAATGAGTGTATATTAATGAGTGTATTTTATCTTCCTATCTGTTCAATCTATACACAGAACATATTATCAGGATAGCTGGATAACAGTCAGAAGAAAGAGTAAAAATTGGTACAAGAAACATCAATCATTTAAAATGCACAAATGATACAATATAACTGGCAGATTGCAGCACTTAATTGACTGCTGATAAACGTGAAAGAAGAAAGTGCAAAAGCAGAACTGCAAAAGAATATTAAGGAAACAAAAATCATGACTACAGAAGTATTACAGAAGTTTACTCAACAGTGAAGAAACTGAAATTATGAAAGATTTTGCATAACTTGGCTGAATCATCAATCCAAAGGGAGATCATGCCCAAGAATTAATAATCACCATCATCTGTCTCCTCTTCTCCTATGCTGGCATGATCTACGTCCATCATCATAGCACTCTCTACCCAGTACCACCTTTATGGTTGCTCTCCCACACTCTGACCCCTCCCCAGCTTTCATAGTCGCAGTCCAAACAACCCCCTAAAAAAGAAGCAGCACCTCTGCCACCCAGGTGCGAAACGGTCAGATGCCCCTCAGCTTTGCCCTTCAGAGCTGCCCTTTGGGCAGGCCAAGGAAAAAGGCTCCTGCGCTGGAAGGTCCCCACCTCAGCCTGGTGGTGGTAGGAGGCTGACGCGACTCCCCCGTGCTTTGCTACTGGCTGCCGCTTGGCAGCATGGTGGGGGAGGCGAAAAGGCAAGGCTGGAATGTGGCAGGTGGGTTCCCAACGCCTGGCAAGCTCTCCCCGGTGACAGCTGGTGTTCCTTTGCAAGTAATAATACAAATGCCCTTGGAGCCATCTGGGAGAAAAAGAAGATGGAGACTTGGACACGAAGCAAAGAATGAAGCTTCAAGTGAAAGGTTGTCTCACTGGAGACCAAGGCCAAGATCCTCTACACTATTGTATTTCCAATCATTACATTCAGGTGTGAAAGCTGACAAGAAAATGGATGCTTTTGAAGCATGTTACTGGACAAGACAAACAAGTGGATCCTAGATCAAATCAAACCAGAACATTCCCTGAAAGCAAATACAAGAACACTGAATGAAGCAGTTGTACTCTGGGCACAACATGAGAAAGCAAGACTCACAGTAGAAGACAATCATGCTAAGGGATGTCAAGGCAGAAGAAGAAAAGGTAGACCAACTATGAGATGGAGCATCTCCACAGAAGAAGCCACAGTCTTGAACTGTGCAGTTACAAGAACTGCGCAGTGCAGTCAAGGACAAGACATTTGAGAGGGCATTTGCTCATGGGGCCACCATAAGTGGGAGATGATTTGATAGCGCATAACAATTTCTTAGTTCAACATTTTTGTTGGGTATAATTCTGTGAGATGGGAATATAACAATAGGTGTGTCTCCAACTCTAAACTAAATAAATCTCACTGTTGTTAAACCGGTTGTTTTACTGGAAGATAAATTACCTGTATGATATTTGGTGTATATTACTTTAAGAGGGTTGAATAACTTTGAGTTCACACTGAACTTTTCTTTCATTATGAAATCTATTTAGCTTCTTGTACTCTTTGCGCATGAACATGCTGTGTAGTGTTGAAGTATATTTTCAACGAAAATGGACATAAATGGATTCACTGACAATCCGTGGACTGGATCCTAGTAATCCATTAATACAAATGGAGTAAAAATCTTGAAGATAGGTATATGACATTAAATAGGCTATTAAGCAACTTAGACCTATTATTATTTCAGGTGAATACATAATTAATTACCCTGGTGTAGACTTTGTAAAATATATGTAACTTCTATTTAAAAAAGTTTTACATTGGAGCAACATGTTAGAAAGAAGCTTAGGCTAGGATTGTTTGTGCTGATATGCTGCTTATTTACCTGCAGTGAGCTGTTTACACCCATTCATGCCATCTCCCACTTGAAGTATGCATTGAGTCAGTCTAGTTAATGATTCATTGTGATTCAGTTTGGGGCACAAGAAGAACCTTGCTGATCAGAGCACATATCTGTTTAACTATACAATAGTCATAGCAAAGATCTATCTAAATAACTTATGCTTTAGATCTTGTTTTGTATGTCACAGTCTGAGAGCAACTATAGTTGTTTGTGTATTTATTTGAAAAACTAGCTCTTGAAACATACTTCTTAGCAAGTCTTCAAGTGGGAAAACATAAGTGTTGCTTTTCTAATTAATTTTCCTAGCTATGCGTATATATTTGTGAGAAGTTAGAACAGCATAGTGTTGGAGTTATGTTATTTACTCAATTTGAAATGTATGACATTTGTTTAGTGCCCTACACAAAATTGCTTATAATAAACATGAAAATATTTTTGATACAAAATAAACAAAGCATGAAAAATCAAAGCCAACATTGAGAAGTATACTAGGCAATAAGAAAGAAGCTCAGAATTAAACACACATTTTAAAATGGAGAGGTCCAGAGGCCCTGGAAAACAAATGTCAGCAGAAAAGTTCACAAGCATAGTGGCAGGTAAGCCTCTCTGGGAAGGCTGTTCTGAAACTGGGGTGTTTGTAAGTGGGGCACCCAAGTAGCTATTCATCTTATTTCATTTGGTGGAACACTAGGAGTAGAGTCTCTGACAAAGTTTGGACCAACTTCAGTTTCTGAACAATTTTTTTAAGGTACTCTTGAATAGAGTGCATTGCACTAAACTAAGAAGGAGACTATGAAAGCACAGGTAATTGTGGTGTTTCAAGCCAGAATCTCACTTGAGTCTCAGTGCTGAATCTCAGTGTGAACCTGGTCTTTAAGGGGCTATGACCTCTACTAGAACAGGCTGAACACTAGTCATCTGGATGGCTGAACTGCAACAAAGCCTCCATTTTGTCTGGACTGAGGCTCTATTTATTTGCCCATTAGGCTCATCACATCCACGCTCTCCCCCCTGTTCCGCACACTCCTCCTGGTACAGTTCTCAAAGTTCCAACAGAGACAAACGGGTGGGGAGGTTGTAAGGAGTGTCTTCCTATGGATGTTTTTATTGCTAGTTTGGTCCTTAACAATGAACTTGCTGGATGTTCCTCAGCAAGCTAATATCTCCCTATTTCCTCTCCTACAGCCTCCATCCTGTCTCTGATCCTGAATCTCTGGAATGGGGAAAATTATATTTGCCTAGCTTAGTACATTTGGGACGCTGAACACTTATTGTAAAATCTGTCATCTTTCTCTGTTTTTTTTTCCAGGAAGACAGGAAAACCTTTTCATAACCTCATAAGCTGGCAAGACTCAAGAGCTGCTGAACTTACACAGTCCTGGAATGGATCTCTTACAATGAAGGTGATGTGGTATTCATGCACTTACTAAATGTAAGAAAAGGGGTGTATGTGTGCATGTACATTTGATTAAAAGCACTAAGAAGAAGATGGTCATGCATCGTGTTCTGCAGTGATATGTTGGTATTCTTTTCTCCAAGCTTTACTAGTATTGCTTCTTAAAGGAAATAACTCAGGCTGAAGCATACGTTGGAAGATCTGTGATGGATCATTCAACTGCTTTTATTACTAAATGTAGCATGGGTTGGATCTGGGCTGCAATGTGCTGAGTGGAGATAGCTAACTCTTTCCCCATCCTCAACATCACCACCCTATGCAAGAAATAACACACTGGGGTGAGGGGAGGTGGTTATGCACCACCTTTCTTCTTCTACACCCATCCTTCTGCAGCTACATTTCATAAAATAGAAAAATGGCAGCAGCCGCATGTGGTTCGATAATGGTCTTCTGACATAACGTGTCACTTGGACCTTATGCTAGGTTTCAGACAGTGCAGATTCTATTCTTGTTTTATAGAAAAAACTGAAAAAGTGTTGTGTAGTGTTAGCGTGTTGGACTGAAGGGTGGAGAGAGCACACAATTCACTGTTCCTTCCACTGCCCTTTATGAGAGGCCCTGCCCTGGTCAGTCTGGTATAAAGGCTAGATGCTTGGACTGAGGCTTAGGAGATCTGAATCAAGTCCTCACATCTCTATAAAGGTCACTAGGTGTCCAGACCAGGCATCCACTGTGAAATCTAACCATCCTCACAGGGTTATTGTTAGGTTAAAATGGAGAAGAGGAAGATCACATATGCCACCTTAGTCTCCTTTGAGAAAGGGTGGAATATAAATGTAACATATTTGTCTACTGTGACAAGTCTTAATCCCATTTGGATTACTGTAATATGCTTTACATGAGGCTGCCTCTGAAGAGTGTTCAGAGACTCCAGGTATTTCAGTGAGCTGCTACTAGACTGTAGAATGAGGCTGACTAAAGGGAACAAACAACTCCTGAACCAAAATAGCTTCACTGGATCCCAATCTGTTTTCAGGAACTGCTCAAAATGCTGGTCACAAGTTACAAAGTGTTACATGGCTCAAGTCCTTTCTATTTGAGAGATCATATTGTCCCCTATGAGTCTCTCTGTACCCTAAGATCTTTAGGGGATGCCCTTCTCGTGGCTCCACCTCCGTCCATCATAGGCACACCTGGTGGGAAGACAGGAGAGGGCCTTCTCAGCTCTCCAAGGCTCTGGAACTCCCTGTCCAGGAAGGCTGGATAGGTGCTTTCTTTGTTACACTTTTGGATGCAGGAAAACCTTTTCTCTTCCCTCAGGCCTTTGGAAATTGTCCTGACCTGTGAAATTGCATTGGATACTCTTGTCTGTATTATTTTTATTGCTGTTTGAATTTTGGCAATTTTTAAAAATGTAGTTGATTTATGTATATTTTTAATATTCATATGTTCTTATCAATGCCTTACTTGTGCATTTTTAATGCTGCAAACCACTTTGAGTTTCAATATAGGGAATAGGTTGAATATAAACAAATGTAATAAAATTGAGAATAAAAACAAGAGTAAGAAATTAATTAATAATGACAGTTGTCAGCATGAAGATTTTGTCATCTGCCATTAGGGGAGGGGGCACTGATACATTCCAGCCTCCCCTGGAAAGGAATATCTTAAATCATGAGACTGTTTTATTCCAGAGGTAGAAAGGAGGCCCAGCTCTTGCTTGTTACAGTCTGCTCAGATTCATCCAATTTGGAGGAGGAGGCTGAGGAGGAGATTTGGGGTGGCAACTGTGCAGTATCAGTATTGCATATTAAAGATGATCAGGCAGAACTTGAGAGCCAGTCCATCTTGGAAGAGCAGAGAGACATTTCAGAACAGGGTGGGATGGGGTGCTGGAAAAGGCATTTCTTGACCCTGTAAGGGATGATGGGAGAAACAAGCAGACCAATTAAGTATCCAGAATGCCTACTGTCTAGTCCTCCAGGATCAGGAGCCACTCTGAAAGTAGAGTCAGAGAGGGAATGGGGGAATCGGCTATGGATTCAACTCTTCACTTGGGAGGACGCTTCTCCTGCATCTCACATTGAATGCTAGATTGAGTTATATGAGACTATTAGAGCAATATACAAACTAAATACATACATACATACTGTTTTGTAGCATGTTGAGTTTCAATAAAAGAACTAAGACGAAAAGAGGGTGGGAGAGACATACTTAAAACACTAGCTTAGACCTGGTCTGTACAAGTAGCAGAATAAAGTGGTAACGTCCTGCTGATGGGACAAGTTGCAGATTGTACTTTGGAATGCTTACCTATGTGAAAAATACCCAGCAAACAAAAATCCAACATAACTAGTAAATGTCTGGAATAGAACTATTTTCCCTGCTATGAAAATAGTCTATATTTGCAGGATTTTATTAAACACAGAGGAGTATTTAAAAATAGTTTCCCACCAACTGTCTGAAATTAAGGAGTTTATTCTACTGTGTGGTTTTCTTTCCTTCGCCTTCACATGTAGACCAGAGTTCCTACTTCTCACCTGGGAAATAACCAAACTACTTTATTTCTCACTTGGCAGCAAGGATTGGTTTTGAACAGAAAAAAATATTTGAAAGTAACTTGGCAAGTAATATTGGACTACTTCTGATAACCCAGCAGCTCCTTTCTGACCCTCCATGTGTGGTGTCCATCTGAATAACTGATGTTCTTTCATAAGCCATGCTTAGAAATGTTATGTACAGCTGAAATGTTTTGTTATATAGATTAGGCCTTCCCAAACTGGTTCTTCAAGATATGTTGGTATTTCAGCCCTAATCATCCTGCAGCCAGCACAGCTGTTGATGTAGTAGTCCAACACTTATGAAAGGCGCAAGGTTAAGGGTGGCTGAGACAGATTGTGTGTGTCATAATTATTATTTTTTAAAAATAACTGAAGCCCTGAAGGAGAAAGATTAAATTATGATTAGAGAGCCAGTGTGGTGTAGTGGTTAAGAGCATGGGACTGGGACTCAGGTCTAGTCCCCGCTCGGCCATGGAGCCAACTGGGTGACTTTGGGCCAGTCACAGACTCTCAGCCCAACCTACCTCACAGGGTTGTTGTTGTGGGGATAAGATGGAGGAGGAGAATGATATAAGTTGCCTTGAGCCCTTTGTAGGAAAAAGGCAGAATATAAATCGATAAATAAATATTTATCCAAACTGTTTTGCTTTGGAACAGGCAGTACATGGTGCTTCTTCAGTCTTACACTTTTTCACTCGAAATGGACTATTTTTGATAGCAAGTTGTCTTCAATTTACAACGCAACATATCTCTTTAAGACTGGCTTGGGTTTTAAAGCATTTGCCTGAGGTAAGGCATGTGTTAATAGCCTCTGTACTGAGTTTTGAACTGGCTTATTCTTTAGTCAGTCCTATTGTCATAGTGGTATAATGTAGATTAGTAAAATAGCATGGTGTTTTCAGTAAACTACATTATAAAGTGTGGGAACTCTTAGGTTATTGAAATTTTAAGTCTCTACTTGCTTGTTCTGTAAAGTGCTAATTCGCCATGTATAATGCACTGTAGTTATTCAGTTCAGAGAATATCAGAGTCTGCATAACTGTAGCTAGGCTATCTCTTTCCAAATAAGAATAACTGGCATATCAGCCTTAGCTGATTAAAAGGTGTTCTGGGCCACTACTGACATTGATGAATCCAAGAACACCCCGAAACTATGAACTTAGTCCTTTAAGGGGAGTGCAGCTCTACTCAGAACAGGGTGAATATTATCCAGGCAGCAAACCACCCAGTAGCAGTGCCTTTGTCTTGTCTTGCTTGGGTCCCATCCAGTCCATTATTATGCCTAGGCAATGATTCAGAGCCACCACTTCTTCACATGGATGTGATGAATAGATAGAGATGCGTGTCATCCACATATGATTAACAGCTCAGATAATCTCCCCCAATGTTTCCATGTAGATGGTGAACAGCATGGGGGATAGAATAGTACCTTCAAGTTAGTTGGCCTTCATTTAAGCCATCAGTGCATTCCAGTACTTCTTTACAATGGATTCAGATGTTACAGAGAAATAGAGCTCTGTGTGGGGCGGGCGAGGAGAGAAAGAATCTCAGTGGACATGCTGGAAACTCCTAATGAGTAACAACTGGAAATTCTTGTCCTAGCTCTGATAACATTTTGGTTTCCTGTTGAATATCTTAATGATACTTGATGCAACTCTGTTGTCATTTATATTGAAGTGGAGTATACCTGGCCCCTTGAAATAAAACATAGACTGTTTTTCAGGTAGAGCAAGCTGCTAAAGAAGATAATTGTTGTTTTGGAACACTTGACACTTGGCTACTGTACAAACTAACCAAAGGTAAGATGGATGAGTTAAATAGGAGGGTGGGGGAGAGAAAGAATACATATACACACAGAAGTGTTGTGAGAGCAGACTGTACTCTCCTGTTGTTGTTCTCTCTGGTTTTGGGTCAATTACCACTTTGCTGCCACATGATTTTTGCCATTCAAGAGCTTTCCTTCTGACAGGAAGAGACTTTTTTGAGGGTCCTGGAGTGATAGGAGGAAGGACAAGAACATCTATTTACATTGTCAGTTTTCCATTTGCGTCCAAACAACATGTAGACTTTGTATAGAAAAGTTCCTGTGGGAGGTAGAATAGGAGTTCTGCAATTCTCTTCAATTTTTCCACCTTACCAGCTACTTTTTGAAATAGCCTTGCCTTCCTTTCCTCTGTTCTCACTGATCCTTTGGTAGTCCTTAAATATTTTCTTCAGACCTTTTCTGCATCTTTTAACTTAGCGGCACACTAGAAATGATGTAGTAGCCCCGTAAAAATGAGGTAAGTCTAATCAAAAAGGATCAGAGGCGACAAACTGAAGCCCGTTGGGCCTGACTTTTATGATTTGTCATCCAAAACATCCCCCCACCCACCCCCCCCATTACTTTCAATAGTGGAGCTAAGCTGAGGGGAAATAGACTTCAGGTGGCCTGCAACACAGAGTTGACTTTAACTCTTCATGCCCTGACTGATGTTAAAAATCAGACCCCACTTCACACTTGATACATAAAAGGGACAGATGTACAATTTAATAAATGAACCTTTGGCCATCCCGTTCTGTTTGCCTAGTAAGCAAAGGCATTCACTCCATGCCTTATGCATGTGAGGGGGCAATCACGCAATAAAGGCCTGTTAAGGCTACACTGTTGGCCTGCTCCAAGTTGCATATTCTCCCTACCCCCACCACCCACACATCAGCCTCTACAAGGGTAAACCATATGTGTGTAAAATACAGTGCACATAAGCTTTCCTAGAACTTGGAGCTTGCTTGCCCAGGATTCCTGGTCCGACAGAAGCTGACCCACACAAGTCCACAGGATGAGGTCAGTGCTGTGTTCCCATTGCCCCTGGTTCATGTGAACACCCCTGCACATGGGCACATATTAACTACATATTTATGTATGTATTTACTTACTGATGTTTATGAATAATTTCATTTATGAAATTTCTAAATGCTAAACAACAAACCATGTTAAACCATTAAAAAGTACCATATAAACTTGGTAGCTTTAAAATAAGGAATAAAATAAGGTCGCTGTTCTAGAATGTTGTATGTTTCAGTAGGCACTGAAAATTGAGAAAGGTTGATTACTACCTTATGTATACTTGGTAGAAATTCCAGTGAGTGGGCAGTGTATCTAATGCAATGTTGAATCATATTTGTTCCTTTTAATGCCCAGGTACAGTGTATGCCACAGATTATTCGAATGCTAGTTCCACTGGATTTTTTGATCCCTTTAAGGTATGACTAGTTCCTCATGCAGTGTTCTTAGAATGCTTAATCTGCATTGCATTTAACTTATTTTATGCATGTGGTTTCAGCTGCAGTGGAGTACATTCCTTAGCAAGTTACTTTCCATTCCAATATCATTGTTTCCCCCAGTAGAGGACACAAGGTAAGAATTAGTATGTATTTGTGTGTGTTTGGGATGTTCTAATTCAAAGCGTAAACACCTGTGTATTTATATAGAAAAAGGTAATAAATTAAACCACACCCAAATTCCATTTAGAACAGAAGCAGTGTAACTTTTACACCATGGACAGCACGATTCTGAGGCAGCTAGACAGTCTGGAGGGCCATATGATTTTTCGAAGTCCAGGTTGGAGTTGGGACTCGGAACTTGGAGTGCATTCCCCACCATGTTCTTGTAGCTGGTGTGCAAAGAACCGACTGTGGCTCTGTAGTTGTAAGAGATGAGCTTGGTGGCAGGCTTTTGGTAGCACCTCACACTCTTTCTTTCCCTCATGCTCCAAGGCATTGTTTTGCATGGTAGAAGAAGGGCTGAGATGAAGGTTATCCCTGCATTCTTCCCACTTGGCTTTGGATGCCCATAATACTCAGTTGTTTTGGGAAGCCTCTTTGGATTGTACCCTGAATATCTAAAATTCTGTTGGCTGTATTCTTGCAACTTTATTACTGAACTGAGAGCACTAACTTTGACCTTTCATTTATTTTAAGTTACAAGTATGGATGCACTGATGCTGAAATTTTTGGAGTGCCTATTGCAATAACAGCTTTGGTAAGTAAAAATGCTTTTTCTTTCCCATCCCTATAGCTAGATTTAGAACCACTTGGGTATTTACTGAAATTTACTTTTTTTATTTGTCTCCAGAGTGAAATATCAAAATGAAGGTAAAAAGCAAGAGTGAAAACAGCATCTTAACTGTAACATAAGATAAAAATGAATACATTAAAAGCACAACTATTAGCTTCTTGGAATTTCTTTAAATGGATACAATTTCTGAATTAAAGTGTGTGTGTATGGGGGGGGGTGTTGAATCAGGATTTCTTCCTACTCTCAGATTTCATTATTAATTCAATAACTGCATTCAGCTGCATAATAGGAAGGGGAGCAAGAATTGTTCTTTTACCTAATATAGATTTTAAAAATTCTAACTACTAGTGACAGCAGAGACTGAAAATACTTTCCATTGCCTGGCAGGATTATTACATCATGAGTTACTTTCTCAGCTATTCCTGCAAGAATCTGTTTCTTTGTATTTATGTATTCATTTATTAACACACACATACTGCCCTATCTGCTAGAGAGCCATAAAGATACTGTACAAAAATTTCAACATCAAAAATTAAAACAACTATATAATCATTAAAACTACTAATTTTGAAAATCAGATAAAAAACTACACACTTTTTTAGAGGGCAGAAGAATGAGTTTGAGAGAGTGTCTTTCATAGATTAGGGGTAGCACAGAAAAATGCCTTTCCTGCATGTCTAAAAAGAGGCCTTTCAAAAGGGCCTCTACTGTAAATCTTGGTATTTCATAGCAAAACAGATGGTCCCTCTAGGCAATTTAAGACTTTAAAGATTAGGAGGAACACCCTGAATGTAGATTGCACACAGAAAGAAATCTGATGTAGGAATTGGGTTCATCCCTTCTATAATGCAGGGTTCAAATAGTGTAGAATTGGATTTTGATTCAGAAGAGAAGGGACGAGATTCTCAGGTGAATTACCAAAGCCAGCAGACCCAGAAATAAACCAGTCATTCATTGAGAATCAGGCAGTTTCAAGTTCTGCTGGAAAATTCTAGTGAGCAAGCTGATGGGTGGGGGGTTTATAATTAATGCAATCATACAGTGTTAGGCTAAGAAGATGAACCAATTGAGATTGATCAGATACTCCAGGCAATTGGCCCAGCATGATTGACCTTGAAGTTGGGTTTAGCTTTGAGATGCTCCTTGGGGGCAGCCTTATGTAGAATGTATTGTAGTAGTCTATGTGTGATATGACTAAACCAATGAATCGGTTGCCAAGTCAGAAGAACCAGGAAGGGTTACAACTAGTACATCAAGCATGGTTGTCAAAACACATGCCTTGCAAGGTACAAGCACAGTGAATGATTAAGAAGTGCTCTCAAGTTTCAGACCAGATCCTTCAGGGGGAACTTAATCACCTCCAGGTCAGGCTGAAACCAAACCCCCAAAACAGACTTTCTACAGACAGGAAACTCCTCCTAGGGTTAATTCAGCTGTTCACCCTAATCCAGGCCATTATCAAACCCAGGCAATATTAAAGAGTGTAAACAGCTTTCTCAGTATTGAGTTATAAGGAGCAGAGCTGAAAGTCAGCAGTATATTGGTGGCATCTTACACCGAAGCACCAAATAATCTCTCACAGTGGTTTCATGTAAATATTAATAGCATGGGAAATGAGATGAAGAGCACTTCTGGGCACTGCCTCAAGGCCAGTCCAACCTCAGGGTCCAGAATTATAGCATGGTTGGTAGTGAGAGCCACCAAGAACTCCAGCTAAATAAGAGGACTGCATTCCCTTCATTCAGTTCTCAGTGTAGGTTAGCCACTAAAACTAGTAATGTAAGCTCAATCCCATGTCCCATCCAAAAGCCTGGTCAAAATGGATCTAAATAATCAGTTTGAATTCTGTGGGCAGGATTGGGAGCTTGTGGATTAGAGTTTTGTACCCCTGGACTAAAAAAATGCACGTCAGTTGTGAGATGTGGTTTACTTGTTTGTTCTATTTCTTTTCCTTTCTTTGAGAAACATGTACTGTATTCATTTTTCTACATAACATCAGAATTTCATTGTAATTCATCTTGGTCTCTGAAGGTGGCAGACCAGCAGGCAGCCATGTTTGGACAATGTTGTTTTGACACTGGTGATATTAAGGTTACCATGGGGACTGGCTCCTTTTGGGATATTAACACGGGAAGCAAAATCCACACATCTAAGAGAGGTAAGCTTGTATTTTTGCATTCTAAAAATTTGGCTGACAGGGTGATAAAAACAAATCAGATGAAGCCATAAATTGATCAATTGAGCAGATTACCTTCAGTATCTCTAAAGTGCTTATTGTTAATGGGGCTTATCTTCAGATATGTTAGCAAATGGGCATTAGATCAGCAACTAGACATTTGGGAGGTGAAAAGACTCACAACTTGCTTCTTCAGATGTCTCTCTATATAATTTCCATTGTGAATAGAAATGGGATTTCATTCAGTTTAGCAATTTATGCATGTCCTAAATTTCCTCTGGATGAATTTTGTCTTAGACCTGCCTTTCCCAACCTAGATGCCTCCTGCTGTCTTGGTTGTAACTCACAATATGTCTGATGATTGACCATGTTGGCTGGGGTTGACAGTTGTTATAGAAGCAAAAGCAGGGGAAAGCTGTGATAAACATGTTTTGGAAGTATTCAGTGGAATGTAGTCATAACTTGTCATAGTTCATTTTCTGTCTGACTTTGTGACTTACTTTCATTATTTTTCAAAAAGTGAGTCATGGTAACATAAAAATTAACAAATATTATTTACCAGTTAATATTTCTATTTCTCAGTGTCTGTGGTAATATAATGAAATGGAGGAGTCCTATTGTGTACCACATTCAGCCAAGCAGCCATGGCAGGGGCAGGCAAGCATGTATAAACCTCAGGTACACAATTATAAAAATAAATCAATAATTAAAACAAAAGAAAACAAGGTTAAATTGGTAAATTACAACAATATTTAGGGAAGTTCAGAAGTAAATAGAAACTTCTTGAACACTAACCTACAATACTGATTCTTACTATGTTACAGAAAAAAATGCCCATTTATTCACCCCATCAAAAATATGAAGACATTTTCCAGCAGAGGAGTAATGTTGCCATGCACATGTAATATAATGTAATATTAATAACATCATGTGTTTTATATATTTATTATTTATTATTGTATATATTTATTATTACACTTATTGTCACACACACACACAGACACACACAGACACACACACACACAATACACCCTGCTCTGTAAGCCTAGGGAGAAGTCCTTCTTGGCCTATGAAAAAGAATAAGTGGTCTGGTTCCCACCAATTGTTTTGGACTGCCTAGCTAGCATGGCCAATAGCCAGGGATAATTAGATTTGAAGTATAATATATAAACATTGTAATTTTCATTGTTAAGTCTGGCATCTTGATAGTGTAATGATGTGTCATTTATTTATTTACATTTATATAGAAGTTTACATCTAAACATATTTTAGATCAGTGAACAATAAAAGTTGAAAAGAATAAAACACTGTTAAAAATGAGACAAAATACCATTAAAAACAGTGACTGATCAGTCAAGGAAGACTTCTTATAATGTATAAGAAAATAGCACAAAAGTGCCTGCTTGCTCTGCAGCATCAAGGAGTTCTATAGGAAGGGGACGAACATTGGAGGCTCTTCTTCAGATGGATTCTGTCCTTGCCATAGGTGTATGCAGAACACCTAGGGGAATCCCATGTGATTATCTTAGTGACCAGGCAGGCTGATAAGGTTGGTTAGGACTTTAGACACCAGTAACAAAACTGGGAAATAGAAGCTCTGCATATCAACATGTTGTTGGCACTTGGCTCCAAATTCCCAATCACTATTCCCAGTGGCTTCATGTAGATGTCAAAGATGCATCATAATAAAATAGAATATAAAACCTTTAAATTTTTAAAGCAAATGGCAGCATGCCTAGGAATAAGAAAGAAGAGGCTGCTGGGAAAAGGGGTAGGAGAAGGAGAAGGGAAGCCCAAAAAGAAAGAAAGGAAGAAAGGGAATCTAGGAAGGGGACCCCTTCCTCAAAACTGTCGCATTTTCTACATATTTTTCACAGGCCAAAAAAAGTTGCTTATTGCTTCTATAAAGAAAAGATTAAAAATCTACCCCTCAGCTTCTCTTAGTAGAAGCCTGCACTGGCTCAAAAGCCATGCATGGAAAGACACCATTGGATACAACTGACCAAACCAAATAACTCATATCTTGTTACTTTAAGGTTTGTATCCACTGGTTGGTTGGAAAATTGGGGAAGAGGTGACATACTTAATTGAAGGCAATGCTGCTTCTACTGGGTACTCTGTAACATGGGCACAGAGCTTAGGTGAGTAGCATGAATTCAGTCTTGAGCCTGGAAACTTAGGCTGAAAAGCACTGACTGTTCCTATGTTGCTAACTTTGCAATATAGGAATTAAATTGCTTTTGTTCTTGTGATGGTTCTGGTTATATAAATATTATGTTATTTACTGTCTAGTTTCTTTGTATTATGCAGAAGTCAATGGAGACATTATGTGAAAATCGTAAGAGAAATATAAATACATTTAAACCTACTGTTTTGTATTTTAAAAAATGGAAATGCAGGTGAAGAGTTATCATAAGCTTAATATTACTTGCAGTTTAATGGCTGAAGATAAGGTTGAAAATATTTTCAGATTTTTCTGGCTTACCTTTTCCCCAGTGTCCTTTAGAAAACTCCAAGGATGTCTGTTTTCTCAGCATGCTGTAAATACTATGTCAGTTTAGTTTAGTATTTTATTTATTTATCTGTGTGTACATATAATTTTATGTTAAAATATTACTGTACTGTTTTCTGTATTTTCACAGATCTTTTCACCAGTGCTGAAGAGACATCAAAAATGGCCCACAGCCTGGCCAATTCAGGAGGAGTTTGTTTTGTTCCTTCTTTTAGTGGGTTGCAGGTAATAGTATTAACCATGATTTATTTACTGATGTACCATCCAACTCTCTTTTACAATTGTAATTGTTCACCATAAAACATATTCCATTCAGTCTTCAGTACTTTCCCCATAAGTATCAAATTAGAATGGTTATAAAATTATATTTTTAAAAATATGTAACATAAATGTCTATGTGCTGCTTATCGCTATCTTAATTTTTTTCCTTACTATGCTGCCTCTTATTGTCATCTGTAAGTTATTTTTCCTTAATATTTCAGTTTGTTCTTCAACATCTGCTGGCAGAACATACTAATGTATACTTTATTTTCATACATTTTTATTTTAGATTCCAGTGAATGACCCATATGCATGCACTTCTTTTATGGGGATCACATCTTCCACCACCAAAAAGCATCTTGTTCGAGCCGTATTGGAATCTATAGCTTTCAGGTACTAGGTTAGACATGCCCAGATAATATGTAATTTCTTTAGATTAGATCAGGATACATGTTATGTTAGCTGAATTAAGAGCCAAATAGTCGCTACTTTAAATCCAAATCTAGCAGCCATGTTTTTGCATTCTTATTCTATAGAAGATGCAGAAGACCCAGCGAAAGTCTCCTGCTGTCTGCCCTTTCTAGCTGCTAGTTACATCATAGTGTCATAACTGTTAGATATGCATTTATGCCAGAAGGCAATGGAGGGCTTATGCCTTCATCAATTCCCTTATATCCCACCAATTCCCATATGAAGTGGGGACCTCCCCCACACACTTCGACTTGCAGAAGGAAGTCTGAGGGCTTCTGGGGCCACTGGAAATGAATGAAAATGTTCATTTCTGGAAGAGGACAGAGCTCATATATGGGGGCTTGGCCAACTTGCCCTATTGAGAAACGAGTACTGTTGATTTCAGACATTCCTCTGGGAACTGCAATGGAATCAATTGTTCTTCGTCGTGGCCTCTGTGCATCACACACATGGGTGCTGCGCCTGCACAGTGCCTAGGCCGGAAGATTAAAAAGCTAATGTTTTTTTTCTTTTTGGCGGGAAAACTCCGCTCCCTCCCCCCCAGTGGTATAAATAGAGTGGAGTGTCCGCCATTTTATTCAGTCTTTGCGACCGCCGTTTCCTGTACCTCGTGCCTGTTAACGTCCCTCGCTCAGATCTTTGTGCTTACTGTCTGTTTTTGCAAAACCTTTATCCCTTCTTCAACTCACTTCTTATATTCCAAGTTTGTATATCTTCCTCCTTTTTTTCCCTACTACTCTTTCAAAAAAAAAACAAACAAACCCAAAAATATTATCTTACCCTCTATCCTGTCATCTTTTCTTCTTTTTCCATGATGGCGCAGCGAGCAGCCTTCCGCAAATGCACCGAATGTGGATCCAAAATGTTGCCTGCAGATCCGCATGATCTATGCCTCCTCTGCCTCAGTGAGGGGCATAGGACTGACAAGTGCGGCCATTGCTTGGCGTTTACCAAGCAAGTGGGGAATAACAGGGAGAACCGTCTGCAGAAACTCCTCTGGGACCAGGCCTTGATGCAGTCCGATCAACTGCTCTTACGGCCTGGTTCCTCTTCAGCCGCACCTCCTCAGCGCTCTGCCTCAACTGTGAGCGCTCCTCCGAAGCATCCTGCTTCCACCTCTCCTCCTCAGCGTCCTTCGGCTGAAGGCGCTACTCCAACGGAGACCCAGGTGCAGCCTTCCTCCCCAGCCAAGAAATGGGAGAAGCACAAGCACACGGGCTCAGATAAGCCTTCCACTCATAAAATACTGAGGAAGGAGAAGGCAGATAAGCCCGCTCGTAAAACCAAGAAACCTGACCGCCCCAAACACCGGGGCTCGGGTTCATTGGGCTTCTCGGTACTGTCTGCCGCCATGGTACCGACCCCTTTGGGACTGGCTCTGCAATCTACTATGCAGGTGACACCGGCGGGATCTCCCAGGCCTGTCATTCGGTCTGAGACCGTGCTGCCTCAACACACGGAGGAGCTGCTTCGGGAGTCCATCTCTGATGGTGAGATTAGGGACTCCCCACCGAGGGAACGATCTCCAACACCAATGCCCATGACTGAGCCACCTGCGGAGTCACCGCCACCACCCAGGCATCGCAGCCGCTCATCGGAACACCGGGATGATGATTGGAGGATGCATGGATATGGTGCCTTCCCAGACTGGGGTGGTTATCAATCCTATCCATATTTCCCTCGGGATCGTAGGTCTCCATCAGTCCTGGGAGACTTGCCTTCGACGTCCAGGCATGTGGAGAGGGGACACCCGACCTCCCCTGAAACATTGTCCTTGAGTGACTGTCACCACTATTGTCCAGACTCGGACGAGTCGTAGGTCGACTCTACATCCCCCGATGTAGTGATTACTTCCCAAGGACCTGCTTCACCCAGTGAGCCACATGTTTCCATTACGGAGCTCATGTCCCGCCTCGTTCGTTCCCTCGAGAGCAAAGCGAACCAGCAGCCCCGCCCATCCACGGATCGGTTCTATGATGTCGTGAGGGGAGAGCAGTCCGCAGCCATAGCCCTGCCGCTAATCACTACACTTCGGCAGGCTATGGTCCAACCCTGGGATCAACCGGCCCAACTGCAGGCCACCTCCCGTCAGTATGAGGCCATGTACAGAGTTCGAGAGGATGACATCCCGTTCTTGATCTGCCACCGGAGACCGAACTCTGTCGTGGTTGAATCCACCCAGGGCAGGGAGTCCAGGGGGCACACGGCCCCTCGTGACAAGGAAGGGAGGATAATCGATATGCTCGCGCGCCAAGTCTATGCGGCCTCTGGGCTCGGCATACACATATCAAACTATGAAGCAACACTGGCACGTTACCAGTATTTTATTATACAAAAGCTGGATAACATTGCTTCCTCCCTTCCAGACCACCAAGCCGACCTCGCCAGGGTCTTCATTAAAGAAGTAATGCAGGTGGCGGTGCAACAGTTGTCTACTGCACGACACCACGTAGACACCAATTCGAGGGCTCTCGTTAATGCCATCTCATTGCACCGACATGCGTGGCTCCGCAATTGTAATTTCCCCGACGAGATGAAACGGAGGATCGAGGAAATGCCATTTGACGGCACCGGGTTGTTCCATCAAAAGCCTGACCGCAAGCTAAAAGCGATACATGAATCGCGTATGACCGCATGCCGTATGGAGCTTCCTCAACAGAAGCGTAAGTGGCAGTAGCCTCGTTCATCCTACCGTCCTCAATTCCACCCTCGGCAGCACTACCAGCAGAGGCAGCAACGTCGGAGGCAGCAGCTGCAGCAACATTTTTCCCAGGGCCATCGGTGTTTCGATGCCGATAAACGTCAGCATTGACGGCCCGGGCAAACCATCTTCTCTCTTCTGACACCACCTTCCCCTCTCCCTTTTGGGGACCGGCTCCAGGGCCGACTCCCCATTTGGGAGTTCATTACCTCTGATAGGTGGGTGTTGTCTATCATTCAGTTCGGATATAGGATAGAATTCGATGTCGACCCTCCACCGAGTCCGATTCGATTTACGTCTTCTTCATCGGTACTGTGCGACGAAGTGTCTCAGTTGCTTCGCAAGGGTGCGATTCAACAACTATTCCACTCGGAGAGGTTGCACAGATTCTACTCCAGATATTTTAAGGTTCCGAAAAGGGACGGTGGTCTTCGTTTGATTCTGGACTTGTGAAATCTTAACAAATACATCAAACCAACAAAGTTCCGGATGACCACTTTACAAAATATCTTTCCATTACTGAAGAGAGAGGATTGGTTCGCCTTATTGGACTTGAAGGATGCCTATTTTCATATTGCTATAAATCCTTCGCACAGATGCTTCCTGCGTTTTACTGTTGGGCTCGATATGTTTGAGTTTACTGTTCTGCCCTTTGGCCTGGCTACCGCACCTCGAGTTTTTACAAAGTGTATGGCGCCAGTATGCGCACACTTACGGACACGAGGAGTGCAAATATATCCATATTTAGATGACTGGCTAATTGTTTCACAAACTAAACAAGGTCTTCTGTCTGCTATACACGTGACCTGCACCCTGCTCGATGAGCTTGGGCTATGCATTAACCACGAGAAATAGTCCCTTATTCCCACGCAGGTCATCGACTATCGGGGCACGTCTCGACTCAATACGGGAAAGAGCCTTTCTTCCTCTGGAACGTCAAGTTCCCTTATGTGGATACATCCGTCGAATCCGAACACTCAGAATGGTTCCAGCTATATCCATTCAGAGACTGTTGGGGCACATGGCTGCTGCAGTTGCCATTGTCCCGTATGCCAGGCTATGTATGCGGCCAATACAGCTGTTTTTCAACACTTCATTTCACCTGCAGCAAGATTCTCTCAACAAACTAATCCAAATTCCATCTGTGATACTCCATAATCTAGCTTCGTGGACCATTCCAACCAATCTGTCTATCGGTGTCCCGTTTTGACCACCTCATCCAACTACGACCCTATATACGGATGCATCGCTACTTGGATGGGGTGCAGCATGTTTGGGTCTTCAGGTCCAAGGGACTTGGAACTGACGAGAAGCAAGGAAGCACATCAACTTCCTCGAACTTCAGGCGATCTTCAATGCCCTCAAGGCTTTTGAGACTGTGCTATGCCGACAAGTTGTCCAGTTTGCATCAGACAACATACCAGCTGTTTTCTACATCAACAAGCACGGCGGCACAAAATCACCAGCCTTAGCACGTCTATAGATGGCCATTTGGGATTGGTGCATACTGAGGGACATAATGCTCCTAGTGGTTCACCACGCAGGGACCGACAACACCGAAGCAGATATGTTGAGCCGACATATGTCAACAACGCACGAATGGGAGATGGACAGACAAATCTTCCAGGACCTCTTCCGTTTGTGGGGCTATCCGGACATGGACTTGTTCGCCACTTTGGACAACAGAGTGTGTGCCCTATACTGCTCCCGGGCGGGCATAGGATCGGATCAATGGGGGGTGCTCTTATGATCTCTTGGGACAACATAGCTTTTTATGCATTTCCTCCAATCCCACTTCTAACGAAAGTGGTGGCAAAAATAGCTCAAGAGAATGCCACGGGAATAATAATAACTCCATGGTGGCCGAGGCAACCATGGTTCGCCACTCTCCTGCGACTATCCAGAGGAACGTTTCTTCGCCTCCCATCTATTCCTCAACTGTTAGCTCAGCAAAACGGAGCGATCCGGCATTCAGATCTGACTGCCTTGAGATCCATTTCACTGTGTCCGTACCGACAACATCCCAATCTATAGCGGATTCTATTCACTGGACTATACCAACGGCTCCTACGTCGGTCTCGACGACAACTGCTTCGCTACCGACGACTGTTGACCAGGAAATTCAGGCGATTCTCGCATCTGCATCAAGACCATCCACTCGTTGCTCTTATGTGGCTAAATGGAAGAGATTCTCATCTTTTGCAGAACACTATTCCTTTCTTCCTGGAATGGCTTCAATTGACAATATTTTGCAATTTCTCCTGGAACTCTATCACTCGGGACTGAAACCTTCATCCATTAAAGTTTATGCAGCTGCCATATCACACTATCGTGGTGCGGTTCAGGGTGTATCAGTCTTCTCTCAACCTCTGGTTTGACGTTTTCTTTGGGGGTTACAGAACTTACATCCTTCTATTTGCCCCGCTATGCCAACGTGGAGCCTTTCTGTAGTACTCCAAGCACTTACTAAACCTCTGTTCGAACCTTTGGTGACTGTCGACCTTCTCCTGGTGTCCTGGAAAACAGCCTTCCTCATAGCAGTAACATCAGCTCGGAGAGCAAGTGAGCTTTCTGCTCTCCGCATAGACCCTCCATATCTTAATTTCCATAAAGAAAAGGTCGTCCTTCGTATGGATTCTTCGTTTCTCCCTAAAGTGGCTACACCATTCCACTTGAGTCAAGACATTGTTCTGCCGGCGTTCTATCCAGCGCCATTGAATCCAATAGAACGGGCTCTACACACCCTTGATGTTCGCCGCTGCTTGGCTTTTTATCGATCCTGTACAGAATCCTTTCGTCACACTAATAGGCTTTTTGTTAAGTACTCCGAACATGACAAGGGATCGCCAGTTACACCTCAAAGGCTATCTAATTGGATCATCCAGACTATTGTCTTGCCCTACCAACTATCAAAAATAGACTTGCCTGTTACCCCGAGGGGTCACTCTATGCGAGCAGTTGCGACTTCGTCTGCCTTTGCTGCAGGGGTTCCGCTTCAGGATATCTGTAAATCTGCAACGTGGGCTGGACCATGTACTTTCACCAAGCACTATTGACTTGATGTGCGCGCCAGGCAGGATTGCTCTTTTGGCAGAACTGTCCTTTCGTCTGTTCTTTGCTGATGACACCTCCCTCCTCCGACTTGGGTAAGCTTGCTAATCACCCATATGTGTGATGCACAGAGAAGAAAAGTAGGTTGCTTACCTGTAACTGATGTTCTTCGAGTGGCCATCTGTGCATTCACACAACCCACCCGCCGGCCCCACTCGGTGTCGGTGAGTGGATGGGTTTTTTTTCCTATCGGTACCGTTAGGACATGGTGATGCTTTTTTCTCTCGGTACTATATTTTAATTATCATCAGTACCATTGGGATATATGCTGCTTGTTGAATTTACACTCAACCTCTAGAGGGCGAACGTTTGGTCTTCAAGACTGAATAAAATGGCGGACACTCCGCTCTATTTATACCACTGGGAGGAGGGAGCGGAGTTTTCCCGCCAAAAATAAAAAAACTGTTAGCTTTTTAATCATCCGGCCTAGGCACTGCGCAGGCGCAGCACCCATATGTGTGAATGCACAGATGGCCACTCGAAGAACATCAGTTACAGGTAAGCAACCTGCTTATCTTACTACACTCTCAGCATGGTATTTGTGCACTCGCACACCTACTCCTTCGCTCCTGCTCATACTGGTGGACAAAGTAGGACGATTACTACAATAGGGAGTAAGTGGGGTTTGGTATGCTTCTCTTTGAAGATGATGAAGAACTTTATTTCAACTTGATTTTGGTTGATTTTTGTAGCTTGCCCACTGATGAAATATGCTTGAATGTTTTGTGGCATTGGTGATTGTAAGCCATTTTAACCATTAAAGAAAAGCAGACTAAAATATTTTAAATAAATTGAATATAAGCAGGGAATAGCAAGTAATTTGAATAGCTTAACAGTTCTTGTTTATTTTAATTTACAATAGCTAACTTTAGCTCATTTTGAAAATGTATTTAATTATCAAACTAGTTTTGTATGAACTTGTTCTTAGCATACTGTACTTCAGTAGTTAATGTGACTTCTTAAAATGCTTTCCTCCCCCCACACCCATTTTTTTTCTTTTTTGCAAGAAACAAGCAACTCTATGATACCATCGTAAAAGATGTTAGCATTCCACCTACATTCATTCGGTATGTTCATGTTCTGTTTTAAATATCAACAGTTGTACATGTGTGTATGTGTGTACAATGGATACTAGTGTGACAGCCACTGTGGTGTAATAGAGCGTTGGACTGGGACTCGGAAGACCCAGATTTTAGTCCCCACTCTGTCATGAAGCTCACTGGGTGACTTTGGGCCAGCTAGTCACTGACTCTGTCAAACCCACTTCATAGCTTTCTGCTAAAATAAGGAAGAGGAGCACATATGCCATCATGTGCTCCTTGGAGAAAGACAGGATATAAATGCTATATCTATGTCTGTCTGTCTGTCCATCCACCCATCCATCCATATAAAGTTTAGTTCCCAAACTTTTATTGATGGCCCAAGTAATGGTCTTATATTTATTTGGAGCCCATATGTTGATTTAAGCTCCTGAATAGACAGTTAAACCACAAAGCAGGCTGTATGTTCTTGACAAATGACAAACCAGATGCCCATGGAAAGCCCACACCAGGACAAGTGCAGTAGCAACTCCTATGAGTGCAACAGTACCTTCCCGTTGGTGTTCACAGTAGCTACCTGACAAAGGCATACTGTTTCTGATTCTGGCAACACTATGGCTAGTAGTCATTAATAACCTGATCCTCCATGGATTTTTCTAATCTCATTTAAAACAATCTCAGGTTGTTGGCCATCACTCCATTTTGTGGTAGCAAGTTCCATAGTTTAACAATGTGGGTAAAAAAAAATCCCTATCCACTTTCTATAAACCATGAATAATTTTATACACCTTTATTCCACCATCCTCTTTTCACCTTTATTGTAACCTAGGCATTCCTACATAATATTCTAACCTTTTCTCATGGAGTAGTTGCTCCAGCCTCTTGATAATTTGTATCACCTTTTTCTGCATAAACTATGGGATATCTTTTGAGGTGCAGTGACCAGATCTGTATGCAGTATTCCAAGTATGGTCACCATAGGTTTGTATGAGGGTATTTTTCACAGCAAATGCACACTGGGTCAACATTTTTACTGAGTTGTCCACTGCAACACCAAGATTTCTTTCTTCGTCAGTCACTGCCAGGTCAGACCACAATAGCATATATGTGAAGTTAGGATTCTTTTTTGCGTAGATGTGCATAGCTTGAAATCTGCTTCCACTGAAACACATTATCATATTTTAATACCTACACTCCAATTGGAAGAGATCCCTTTTGTAACTACCCTAAATAATTCGGTCTTTTTAGCGGAATTGGCTGCCTCACTGCTTGCCCTGCTCCTAGATCTTTTGAAATAAGTTGAAAAGTACTGAGCCTTGCAGGATTCTGCTACATATTTACATCTTGCATTGTGAGAAGGCCCGATTTATTCCTGCTCGGCGTTTTCTGTCTCTTAACAAGTTACCAAGCCATAACGGGACCTCTTCACTTATTCCAGGACCACAACCCTTGCAGTTATATCAGCAAGAGCAGGTTGTATGACTAATCTGGTTTTGAAATGGACTAAACTAGATATCAGGCATTCCCAGCTGAATTGCATGACCTGGAACCTAGAAATAAGCTGAGCAGCAATACCCTTGTCCTGTGCTGCAAGCACTCTGTACTTGTCTAATTCCTTTGAATACCGAATTCATTTTTGAATTAATAAACTATGATAAATGTTGAGAGTGTGTGCCTGTACATACTACACATGCCCCAGAATGCTGAAATGATCCCGGGGATGTTAAGAGAAGTGAGAGGTGGCAACCAGTGAAAGTAATACTGCCCACAGAGTTATATAACGTCTATCATGTGGACAGAACATGGTAAGCTGCACACACTGAAAAAAGTGCTAGATCCCTGAAGTATTGTGGTTTTGCTTGGTGGTTCTGCAGTGGAAAATCAGTGGTGGGCAGCCTACTATATGGTAGCTGCCTGGCTTAACCACGTGATAGCCAAGAACATTCACTTACCAGTAGCAAGAAGCTGTTTTATTACCAGAGGTGATGCCACCTGCCAGAATGTTAAGATTCTCTGCATCAGTAAAGAGCATGTTGGTAAAGGAGAAACAAGGGGAGATAAGCACGAGATTGTTAAATCCACAAGGTCCTAATAGGAAAGGATAGAAGCTCTAAAAAGCCCTGAGCTGGACTTTCAATGATATGTTGAATTTTCCATCTGAGGCCTACCATATCACTACGTGGGATAATTTGGTCTACTGTTCATAGGTTGTCAGACTGGAACAGAACAATGGAACAAAGTAAGTAGCCATCACAATTGGGATATATTAATTAACAGCTCAGATATTTCTATATGGGTGAGCCCTTGTTTCCTTAACAAAGATATTTAGCATGAATGAGGATTAATTAAGCAACAGAAAATGTTTTCTAGAGGCTCTTTTTTCTTTTGCAGATAAATGTATATCAGACAGATTTCTTGGCAGTTAATTATTTAAATACACCCCCTTCTTTTCTCCCTTTCTCACAGAGCTGATGGAGGTGTCAGTAAAAATAATTTTGTGATGCAAATGACTTCCGATTTAATTAATAAAACAATAAACAAGCCTGTATGTACAGACACATCTTGTCTTGGAGCAGCTTTTCTAGCAGGCCTTGCTGTAGGTACGTATATTGCCTGAAAAGTAGGGAGGAGCAATTTCTGAGAGAGGAAGGATGTTTTTTATGCATTCCATATTAGAATGCAAAGATTTGTAGATGATGGATAACAGTGAGGACTCCTATAGCACATGCTGCTTAGTTTTCTGCCTACATAGTTCAAACATATGAAAATAAAATTCACAATTATTTGTGTATTTAATATCTTCATAACAGTGTAATTTGCATACAGACGAAACTCTGCAGGCTGAAATGTACACATTGATTATAAAATGTCCTTCCCTAGCAGGAACACCACTTTTAGAAGGGAGAGCTTACCAAAATAATCACTTGCAAGCATATGAGTGTGTAGAGCATTACATATTCTATGATGAAAGTTGTCTTCTCCAGTGTGGAACCCTCCAATTGTTTTGGATTTTAGCTCCCATTATCAGCAGTCAATATAGCCAGTGGTGGGAGATGATAGAGGCTGTAATCCAAAATTACCTAGTGGGCACTAGTTTTGGGAAGGCTGATATAGATAGGAAGAAATACTCAAACTGTAAGCTTAAGTCTGAAGACCAAAAAACCGAGATATTTGATAGTACCATAGGTGTAAGCAAGACACTGCACTGCTGGAGAAATCTCTTATGCTTTCATGGAACAATCAACAGTGTACAGCATCAGCTGTTGGTTATGCTCAGATTATAAAAGGAACCATTTGTCAACAAGTTCCATTGAAATGTTACAGGTTTGCCCCTGCATTGTTTTGTTAATCACTTTGAGGTTAACAGAGCTTTCATGCATTAGTAGACTTGATCACATTGTGAAATTGTTGCATAAGGAAGAAGTTGTTCTTCTATCCTCTCCAAGATAGCTAAGTTGCAAGAGTTCAGTGGAAAGTAAGGCGATATTGCACATATTCATTAGTTATTGTCAAACTGCTGCATCACCATAACACCTTAGAGGACCCAGATTAAGTACAGTGTCTACTCTTTCCATATTTCAATATCCCACCTCCCCAACCAAGAATCCCAGTGCTGGCATTTGTGGCTATCCCTCCACGGAAGATGAGACTTGGATAGTTTACAGTGATCTGCTTCACAACACCTACTCAAACCTTTGAAACCCAAGGCTAGCCAGGTGTATCTTATAGAAGGCTCACCATGAGGCAGGAATGCTTCCAAGGAAATGGGTTTGCCATTCCTTTCATGGCTCAATTTGGGCTGGAACCAACATTGAGCAAGCCTGTTCCTCTGCAATTCCTCATTGATGGGGAATTCTTTCTTACTGTAACTGGTTTTATTTAAATACGTTCATACTGAATATGACTCTATTAATACATTTGTATTATCTTTATGCACTGAGCTGCCTTGGGAAGACTATGGCCCCAAAAAGTAGCTAAGAAATAGATCAAATGTAAACATAAATGCTTTATATATAGGTGGGGCCGTCATACTTATCTTTATCTTAAGATTGGTGTGGTTTCAGGCAAACAAATAACTGAATACAAAGTGCATGCCCTTTCCTAAATGGAAGGCCAAGTTTATGTCTAATGTCAGTTTTTTCAGGACTTCATTGTTAATGGTCTCTCATAAGAAAAGCTGTAGTGTAGTAGTATTAACACATGCCGGATCATCTCATTTTAGTAGATACTGTGTGTCTTTTATTGGTAGTTACCATGATTCTTTTAGAATATTTTGTAATTTAGCTCTAGAGTATAAAAACACCCATTTTGTAAATATTTTCTTAGCTGCACTATTCTTAAGTTGATATTTTTGTGTTATCTGTATTTGTTCCTGGTATAACATTTGTGGACAACTTGATCGTGAATATTTGCTGTTTTGTTTACAGGATTTTGGAATGACAAAGAACAATTGAGAAAGCTAAGACAAACTGACATTGTTTTTAAGCCACAGAAGGAGCCAAAGGAATATGAACCTGCAATGAGTAAATGGATAAAAGCTGTTCAGCGGTCTCTCTCTTGGTACAACCAGACATCACCATGATGAAATCACTGCAAAACTTTACATTAATATCTATGAAGCATTGGTTTTACAGGACTCTATAACCCCCAGCTCCAATTGGTTTTAGAGTTGGCTGCAGTTTCTCTTCTGTAAGGTTACTGAAAAATATACCAGTTGTCTCACTGAAACTTCACCATACAGTAGGCAAGGGATGGAATGTCGGTGTTTTGTATGGGATGATTTCCTATAACAACCAAGTTAGATGTGATGTGTGAATACAACATCCCTTTTAAAAAGATCAAGTACCATTCATGGGGATTGATGGAAATGTAGACATGAATCTGCTATTTGTTACAAGAAAAACTCATATGTTGGTATTTGGAAAAGAACACTAAAGAGACAGAAATACATTCACATGTGTAGTCTGGCCTGAAAACAGGAGACTCTGTAGATAGGAGGCTGAATGAAAAGTAGCAAAAAATATTTCCCTCTGTCTTCCTTGTCATTTTCTATAAAGAATTTAAACAGAATTGTAATCTAGTACAGAATTGGACTGTTTGCCAACTTGAACATTGATTCACACAAAGAAGCGTTGAGAGTGCTAGCCCAATATAGAGATTGACCTACATTTCAATTAATTATTTTCCTTTTTTATCATTAGGCCTTGGAAAAATTGATTTCTGGCTACCTGGGGTGGAAAGTATTAATATCTAAATGATGTAAGAACTTGGCCAGCTGTCACCACTGCCTAATATAGGAATAGAGGACTTGACATTGGATGTTGTTCAACTCCCAGGTCACATGAACCCCAGTAAGCATGCCCAGAAGTCAGAAATGATGGAAGATACAGTACAAAAACATTTAAATGGCTACAGATTCCCCAATCTGGTTTAGGAGGTTGGAAAATTTATATGAAACAATATGGCTGTTTGTGAAGCATCACTACTAATGCCAAAAGTATAAAATGCAGAATCCTGGGAATTCTGTCTTGTATTTCAACAGTTACTGCTTAGTTTTCCAAATCCTGAACTAGCTAGGATTGTTTTCTGCTTCCTAGAAGGTCAGCACAACCAAAACTCTTTTTCTTTAAACCACTGTTCAGTTTTCCCAGACCACATGAATATGTCATTTCCAGTGTTTCCATTTTTATTCCAGTCACTGTCTCCCCAGTTTCACTCCCACATTGACTATCTGTATAAAATATGCAAGTAGAGTATGTGTGAAAGAGCGCACATGTAATTTTTCTGTTAATACCTCTCCTGTTAAATGATATTGGTGGGTTTTTTTAACGAACCAAGGGTTTTGCTTTGTTTTTCTAGACTATAAAGTGCTGCTCCAGTCACTGTAAATGTATGTGAAATCCAAACTTCTTTATGCAAGTAGCACTTTGTGTTGCCTCGACTGGCATTTTTCAATTGATTCAGTATTTTTTCACTGAACTAATTTATTTTGTATCTAGCTAAAAATTATTTTGTAATTGAATTCTGGAGTAGAATAGAGGAGTTGTCTATTCTCATGGACCTAAGTTGCCTGTTGTCATACCTCATACCATGTTATGTACTATCATCTCATGATAAGCAATGTGGTGCCTGCACACACTAATGTGCCCTCGTAACCTTTCCTGGTGACTGCCAAGGAGCATACCGCCCACATTGTGTTTGGGTAGCTGTTCTTTTAACAAAGTTTCTTCTTGGAAGCTGGGGTTATTTAAAAGCCAAGTGGTGGCCTCTAGCTCTCCCATCTTTTTCCCCATGAATGACTCTGGAACACACATGGAGCTCAGAGGCATTCTAGGATGTGAAGATGGCAGGTGGCTGGAGGGTCATGCTTTTATCTACAGTATATCCATTTTGTTGTGGTGTCCAAATCAGATTCTCAGCTGCCAAATGTGCCCATGGGACCAAGGCGTTTCTCTTATCCCTGCATTAGAAACATAGAAAACTGTCTTAAACCAGGTTAAATACTTAGTCTAGCTCAGGATAGAGTACACTAGTTGGAAATGGCTCAGCAGGAAATGGCTCAGGAGCCTTTTACAGACTCATTAAAGATGTTGATGACTGAACCTAGAACCTTCAGCATACAAAAATATTTTTGGTTTTGTTCATTTTTGGTGAGAAGGAAGGAATTTAAAAGAATCTTTGGCAAAAAAAATCTCTTGAGATTGCTGTGGCCTTGTTGTGAAGGATAGCCATCATTCAAGAAGGCCCTTCCTTCCATGTATAACCCATTCTTTTGGGGCTAGATATATAAAGATACAATGGGAATTCCACAAATAGAAACAGAAAAATATGGTTAGGATGTGTTCTGCATCAGGTAGAAAATACATCAACACATGCATTTCTGCACCACAGATATTATATGCAATCCATTATGGAAATCAAATTATCTTGCTCTAATGGCAGTATTTGGGATTTTAGTCAGACTTAGCAGGGCAGAATCCTGTTTTATTCTGCCAGATGACACCATAACAGTGCCCTTCAAGTGCCTGAATAAGAAGTTTCCAAATAGGGGATTTTCCGTAACAACCTGTGCCATATGACTTTCCCCATACTAGGGCCAGCTCATAATTACTGCCTAATGATCTGTATTTTATATTTGTAATAGATTTTATTGTTATATTGTATATTGTGGATTATTATATCTGGATGAACTTGAATTTGTCTAAAAACTGAGTATTTGCAGAAGGAAAAACAGTTTGAGCTACAGTTTTTTCATGTAGTAGGCCACTTCTGTGGCAGAATATTACTTAACCATCTCTCACTTGCAGGAAAATTCTGCAATTAATTCTGCAATAAAAGTTGAACTATTTTGAATGAATGGAGATGGTCATTATATTCACTCTTCTGTGAGACATTTGTAACACTAAGTACTATATTTTTAAATTTATGAATGACCGATCTGTATGAAACATTAAATTTTAGGAATGGATGTTTTGTAAACTGAAACTAGTTATTACAAAGTGCTAAATCAAGTGTGTTTTATTTACTTGGTGATCCTTTGCTGCAACATGTCTGTTGATGATCCTTTGTTAAATGTGTGTACTGATGATTAAATGTACTAACAGGATTGTTGTTATGGGGATAAGATTGAGAGCAGGAGGAGGAGAATGATGTAAACCACTTCCAGTTCTTAAAAAAGTGGGATATAAATCAAATAAAATATATTCCAAACCTGAAATTATTTGGGACTAGACATATAATGTACTTATTCTCTCCATAATTATTGCATTCAAGATCAATCAGTTTGTGTATTGATACTTTGCTCTGGTCATGTCACAGCAAGCACTCCCCTGTGTCATGAAAACAGTAAGCTCAAATGGGAATTGATTTAGTTGGCAAGGAAACTTCTTAATTGCTGAGAACTCGTAACACTCCCTAGGTATCTTTCTTGCATCAGTAAGGGATAGTGTTGCCTTTTGACTCACATGTGGTTCTCCAGTTACATTCTTAAATTCAGAACATTACCTTCCTTCATTAACTTGCTCTACTTTGAAGTGTATGTTAGGACTTCTTTTTCTGCTGGCCTGTTTTCGTATTTTAGATTGTCTTGGCATATTGTTGGCTTACAGAAAAAGCTGTAACCAAGACCCATGACTTCTCTTTTGAAGCACTCAGTTCTTGAAAGCAGTAGACCTGGATGGTGTTTCTGTCACAACTAGGAGCTTCCTTTAGAAGCTCCCTCACCCACCCCCAGAACTGTATATTCAAATGTCAATACAAGGTTGTCTAGAAGGTAGAGTTAACCATTCTATAGAGTGGTATTCTTTGTAGAATTTGGTATGCTTCACACCTGTACAATTCAGTGAATTCTGCTGTGTCCCTATTTTTGGATAGGGATTGTGCTGTCCTGATCCAAACAACTGGAGCATGAGAATTTTCTGGTATTAGCCAGTGTGGTGTAGTGATTAAGAGCATGGGACTGGTGATCTGGGTTCTAGTCCCTGCTTGGCTATGGGTGACTTTGAGCCAGTCACAGACTCTCAGTCCAACCTACCTTACAGGGTTGTGGGGATAAGACTGGGAACAGGAGGATGAGACAGATGTAAGCTGCTTTGAGCTCTTTGTAAGAAAAAGGGTGGGATATATATTTAATAAATTAGATCCTTCCTGATGCTATATCATTTTCTTAGGAATAAATGCAATTTGTTTCCTTAAAGGTTGCTGTCTTTCCAGTGCAACCCTACAAGCACTTAAAAGTAAACCCTACTGAACAGCAGTACATTATTAATACATTGTTTAGGATAGGGTTTAGCCTTTAAGTAATTGTGGCTTTCTCCATCTTGATTATTGAGAAAAAAATAATGCTAAGCTTACAACTCTGCAAGTAAAGCAACATATAACATGTCCTGTGAACACTTTACATAGATATAAACCAGAATTCAGTGGGAATTGCTCCTAGCTGGAATTATCAGCTGTAAGCATCTGACCCAATTCCAAATAGTCAAATCCAAAAAACTGAATCGTTCTTGGGATGGATTGACTGACCACGCTGCATGTGTGAGGTGACTTTCAATAGTCTTCAGAAGAGTGGCCAGATTAGTCTGTCCAGCAAAAATAACAGGAACCTGTGGTTTTTTAAAGACATTTTTATTTGGCATGAACTTGGCCTAGCAAATGCATGTTCTCAGCTGTAGATATACACATGCAGCAGTATGTGCTGTGAGCAAGAAAATGAAATGTAGACAGTGACAATGTAGACAAATACAATGCATGTACGTACAGTGATGCTTACCAATAGTGGTCATAATGCTATGAAGTTAGCAATGCTGAGCTAAAGTTTTATGCAATGCTGCACAAAAACCCACTGAATTGCTTCATACCCAAATTAACTCCTTGATGTACTGTAGTTGGACTTCACAACTGACTCTGAAACTCTTTTGCTAAAGGATGGCCATCTTCAGAGCAGGGCCTTCTGATAGGTTAATACGCCATCTCTTTAAAAAATTGCCAAATACTTGCAGCGTCAAAGGAAGCTCTTTGAGGTGCTACAGGACACTTCGCTTTACATTGTTTGGCTTACTCAGGTTTATCTTGCCTGGAATTGGACCTGTGCAGCCACACCTTACTAAACTGAATGAGTGACAGAAGACAGGGCAGCCTGGTGGTGATACGGTTCCCGACTCCGACTCCGACTCCTTCCCGAAAGCAGAGCAGGAGCCTCGACTGTCACAAACTTTCGGAGCCCGCCCCCTGTCCTTCCCCGGCAGTCTCCGAAGGCGCGTCCGAGGCTTAGCCCCACCCCCTACTCCGGCGCTCCTCCGCTAAGCATTGAGCCGCTTGTGTACACACAGACCTCTCCGCCAATAGGAGGCTCCAGGCTCCCGATTTCACGCGGGCGTGCTGACCAATGGGCGAGCTTGGTCGCCCGACGCCGCCAAGCTTGTGCGGGGGAGACCTCTAGAGAAAGGGAGCGATAAGCGATCCTGACAGCGGCCGCCGCCGTGGAGGGGCGACCGTGTGGTGGCAGCGGCAGCAACGGTCGGGGCGGAGGTGGGTGAGAATTGTTGCCGTCCTGAGGGGAAACTTTTCCATGCTGGGCCTTTCCCCCCCTTAATGCCAAAGGCCGTGTTTGTCCCCACGTTCTCCCCTTCCTCTTCGCAGAAAGCGGCGCCTCTGTTTGGGAGACCGTGGGCACTTCTGCTAGGCCCCGCCCCCGCCCCTTCTCGGGTGGTCCTCGCACAAGGAAGTGAGGGGCGCGCTGCCTCTTCCTCATTCCCTGTTCGTGCCCTGAGATGGCTTTCTACCCGCGTAAGGGGAGGCTTATCTCCTGCGCTTCCGCGTCCCCTCCTCTTCCTCCCGCTTTGTGAACGTGCTTCCCCTGGCCGGGCGGGGTGGGGGGACGGTTCTCTTCGACCCTGGCCGTCACTTGAGGCAGTCGCCTTCGTCTCTCGCCGCCCTCACCTCCGCACGCGCCCCCAGTCCCTTCTCCCTCGTCGCCTTGTTGCCCTTCTGAGGCTTTCGCCACCGTCCCCGGACCCCTGCGTGCGTGTTTGGATTAGCAGGGCCTCGGAAGCAGAGCCTGCCTGCTTTGGTCGCTGGGGCCTTGGGCACCATTGCCGCGATTTGGAAAGTGCGCACGCAGGTCTGTGTCATTCAGGGTCTCTCCATAAACTGATGGCTAAAGCTAAATTAAAGCTAAATTATTTTTGTACGAGGTTTGTAATCCGGAAGGGCTGGTATTGAAGGTGCACTGCTGTTGAAGTAGCTAAGTTGCTTGTAAATGCTGCTGAGCTGGTAGGATGAAGTCTGTTTTCTTCCCCCCCCCCAACCCCCCCACTCAACCAGTATGCTCACTCAGTAACGAGCCTTTTTGCACCCGTCTTGGGGCGTAAAGGTTTTTGTTTATCCAGCTTCTCCAACTTCCTTTATTTTGTCTTGTGCCGACTCGCAGCGGAAGTTGGTGTAATACGGGCTACTACTTTAATTACTTCCAGCCTGTTTTTCTACACGTTTGTCTGGGAGTGTGTGCAGGAGAGTTTAGTATGCATTGACAGAAGTACATTTAGGAAAGTGATCATGCAGTATGTCTTACAAGTAAATTCCATCGAGTTCAATAAGGCTTCACTCCCAGGTAAATGCAAATTTGATTATTGTCTTTTCTCAGAGCATATGATTAACTTTTGGTGCCTATGATTGAATTTTGGGTGCATGCGGTGGTCCTGAACCTGCATTACATCCTGTCCTTATCCCAGTCTACTGCCTACTTCATATTCAGCAGGAACGTTTGTGGAGTTTTGAATACAGTCATATGTGGCTGCATGTGGTCAGGTAGTTGGGCAGCATGATTGGAATGGGAGGAATTGGTATTACTTTTTTAGTGAGAGTACTTCCAAAACCCACACACTTTTGAGAAGTGGTGTATTATATTTGTAGGTTAGTAGTGATGAGCTCTAGCTCTACTCTAATAAATCAATTCATAAATTAGAATAAATTTAAATGAGAAGAAGTAAAAATGGAAACCTACTGTCCAAATGTGGGATTACAATTCCATGAATGCTTAGATGACCAACAGGGTACCTCCTAAAAATGTGAGTGACTGAACATTACCAAAGGCAAATTGTTACTCTTCAGGACTTGGATGAATGTCTCAGCATTGCAAGTGTGGAGGAATGTCATTTGGATCTTGCAGGAGAGACAGTGTGGTGTTGTGGTTAAGCATGCAGGAGTGGGACTCAGGAAATCTGGGTTCTAGTTTCCACTCTGCTACAAAGTTAACTGGGTAACTTTGGGTCAGTCAGACTCTCTGCCCTATCAAGTTTGCAGGTTGTTGTTAGGATAACATTGAGAGGAGAATTATGTAAGCTTCATTGAAAGGAAAAAAGCAGGATATAAATTAATAAATTCCTTCAAAACTGCTATATTGCTCTCTCCTGCTCAATCTAACAAGATTTATGAAATTGCAGACTGCTTTATGAAATTGCAGACTGCTTTTATGAAACAAGAAACATTATATAAATCATAACACATGATGAAAAGTCTATGCCAAATATACTGGTGCAAACAGTTTAACCAGCTACAGTTACTCCTGCATACAATTAAATGTACCTGCACTATCCAGAAAATTAGTTTCACCAAACCAAACCACTCTTATCTGAGTTTTGAATTAAAATCTAGGAAAGGATGACATTGTAGTCATACCTTTAGCTAGAACATGTGTGTGTTGTGAGGTGAGATGTCAGGCGCTAAGGGTACACTGAAAGATGCAGACCTGGAAGGGAACCACCACAATCCATTCCCAGAAAGATGGCATTATTGCTGGTAGCCTAGGCAAAGCGTACATGGTGTTGGGTGATCAGCATTCACTTGTGTTTGTTGGCTCTATTCCCACAGTTTGGCTTCCTACATATACAAGATGTAAGTCTCAATTTGACCCACATTATGCACTAGATGTTATAATATGTGTATATGCTAAGTATTAATAACTAGTTTCTAAACTCAGTTGTGGACCCATTCACACACAAAATAACAAATATCTAGCGAAATTAGTCAAGTTTGTTCTGCAAAATGATAAATTTTGGTTATATTTTCATTAAAAAAGTGGATAGTGTAAAAATCCTAAGCTTCAGGTTTGATACCAATTATAAACACGGGTGGGAGAGCCTTTGCTTTGTCATTGACTTCAAGAGTTCTTTTGTCTAAAACAGACAAGGTCATGACAGATGGTAGGGTCACAGTGGCTAGTCTTCTGAGCTGTTAAAATTTGTTTGTAAAACTGGAAGTTGGCCAAATGAAGAGATTTGACTGCAGAGATTTCTGACATAGATAAGAGTTATATTGACTTTTGTGAAACAACTTCTTCAAGAAATCTCTCTTAAAGTAAACTGGCATTTGTAATTTGTCATGACAGATTGTTTAAAATGTTTATAAGTTTTATAATGCCAGAGTCCACAATAATTCAGCAAACTTCAGTGCGCTTAGTAAGCATCATTAGCAAGTAGCATGGAAATTTGTCTGTTAGACATTAAGTTCAATCAAAAGAAACAACTCTTCTTTGATCCTCATCTTAAAAATGTTGTAATATGTGTATGTGCACATGTATGCACACTCACATGCAAACACTTGACACAAAATGTTGTTTACTCTGCAACACAAGTTACTAATCTTTTGTTTTTCCAGTGTATGGCCTTAGTATCTGCTGATGTGATGGTTCTGTTCACTTACAAAGGTATCTGTTTTTGATTTTGTTTCTCTTTATAAACTTGGTTCATATAGTTACAGCTCAGAGGAATTATGGTTTTGCACTTCTCTTCTGTCAGTCATAGCTTATACAAGTCTGCAGAGATTGTGCTTGTTTAGCACAGAAACTTGAAAAGCTTAAGATTGTGGAATTGTGCCCTGATCTGAGTGGTTATACAGAGTGGAATTATAGTTTCATGTTGTGATTTAAAATTTCCGGGTGACTGATCCTGTGGCCCTTCTCATTGTCTGTGGTGATCCTGTGGCCCCTCTCAGTGTTCTGAGGTTGAGAAATCAACTTTGGAGATAGGGTAAGGGTGGTTGGGAGGGGAGGGGAGAGGAATTGCTAGGATATAAGGTATCCTGATGATACTCCAGCCTCCTTCCCTCTCTCTCTGAAGCACCTCTGCAGAGCAGGAGGTGGAGTGAGGCAGAAATCTAGAAATTCTCCTGTTCAGTGACACTTTTGTTGCATTCATTGTTATCTTCTGTCTTTTTCTGTGTTTCTGGTTTTGTTTGCTTTATTTTTGTTTGTGATCTCTTCAGCTGCTTTGTCTCCTCAGACCTTGTGAGTAAACTTCTGTGAATGTGTGCTCTGTGATATTAAAAGGTTCTCTGTGTCATCTCTGTCTCTTGGCATAACTGCTCAGAGACTTTGGGCTGCCTTCTGGAAGAGAGCACTTGAGGTGGTGGATTTTTGTTTTGTTTTTTTCAGTGTTCCATAGTTGAATTTTTCTTTCAGATTCTCTGTTACTATAAAAGATGTTTGTATTCAAGTCTGCCTACCTTTTCTTCCTAAACCACTTTGCCAGTGAAGATAGGAAAGGTTAATGAAAGACGAGAAGAGGAAGGAAAAGTTAATAGCTTTTCAGGTCACTGCAATCTTTCACTTGGCAAAGAGTCCCTTTCCCTACTCAATGTGCCCTTTCCTGCTGGACCTGCATAAGAACATAGGCTTTAGGGGATCATCATTGCCTTTGGAATCAGCATCCATTACTCCAACTTCCATCCTCATTTTGGACTTCTTTGCAATCCTAATGTGCAACACATTGCACTGAGTGAGTGGCAGTACATCAAGCTTAAGAGGCTTGAAAGCAAAGGATGAAGTAAAAACATTGTTAGACAGAAATGAGAAATGAATACAGCTACTCTTTGGAAGTCCAGCTGAGTGACAGTGCAGGATTTGAGGAGGAAGGAAAAGAGAGAGGAGTTCCAAGGGTTGGAGAGAAAGGAGAATTAGAGGGCAGGGTAAGAGTGCTTGGGTAAATCGAGGAATAGAGGTTCCCAGATTTGATAGCTATCTCACTATCATCATTGTTATCTGATCAAAATAGGGATAAAACTCCCTATTTTTGTAATCCAAGGGATTGCTTTCCCCCCTTATGCCATTTGTAAGACCTTGCCAAATAATTTAAGAAATAGTATTCAAAATAGTCTCATAAAATTCTTTTGATTTGTAATTATAAATTAAACAAGGATCAAACTACCCCAAACAGAAACTATCTTCAGTTTGAAAAGTACTTAGGTAATTTTATAACAGTTCTGTTCAACTGAGGAAAACCCTGTTAAAGTATTTACTTGCTCTATGCTGGATGTAGTTCCCTCTTTCACAACTGAAATAAATTAACTAATTTTCATGTGATTAAAAATCTGGGAACTAAATGTTTCTTGTATGATATGCAAAACCTCTTTCACTGTACAACATTGGACCTCAAAGTTGCAGAAACAGACAAGTGATTCTCCAGCAGGCAACCATTGCTAGGATCCAGTGCTGCTCAAGCTCCAGTGGAGCTCACCATTTGTACAGTGAAGAACTAGTTCTTTGAATGGGAACTGGAAACAGGAAGAAGTGCCAGGTTTCTAAGGCAAGCAGGTCAATAGAACTCAGATAATAGAGCTTTACCTGCTTGTTTCAAGCTAAAAACTGGTGTTTCTGTTCATTTCAGGGCTTGCTTTTTGAAGTGCTGCATCCCCATTGCAAAATCAGTGGGTCTGACTTGTACAACAGAATCCATTGGAGTGCAGCATCCCAACTGGATGCTGCTGCGTGCATACAAATAGAGCTTTACTTGTTCTTTTTGTCAAAACATGTTCCATTTAAAAAGTGTTTTTCCTTCTGAAAATGAGAACTGCTGTAGCAGAAATAGAAAAGTAAAGCACACTCTTGTTATAAATACAGTTATTTCTTGCCTCACTAGTTTGAATTGTGGCCAAGTTATTGTATATTTCAAGAAATTCCTCTTTGGTGGGGGTGGTGGGGTAATTGGAAAATCACTTTTTAGAGAAGGAAAAGTTAAATGCATATAGCAAATTGAGACCAACTTCCCAAAGCATGTTCTTGGTATTCCAAATGTCCAAATATTCCAAATATCCAGGTGTTAATGGAATGGTTCTGCATTTGATTACTTGTATATGACATATCTCAAGTTATCTCTGAATCATAACAAAGACTTTATAAAGTATTGGTGATGTAGTAAGCAAGGCATGCTTCTTTAGTTCATGCAACAAATGTTTTGATTTATTTCTTTTGTTAATTTTACAAAATATATTGGATACTCTTTCCTTTTTTTTATAGAAATTTTATTAGGATTTTAAAACTAAAACTACAAACAACAATCATCGCACACCCCGGATTTACTGGATCAGCCCCCTACTACATATCTTTTAACATTCTGTGATCATACTAGAATCCATTTATACTAACTTGAAAACATCGTTGGATCAAAACCAGGTCCCGTTTCTCCAGCCAATAAAATAATAATAATGATAATAATCCAAATTTGATAGAAGTCACTATCTTCCTCTTCTTCATCCATGAAATCAGTCTCATTATTTCCTACAAAGTCCTGTTTCTCTTGAGCAATGTCAAAGGGAAGCATCTCCAAGTTAAATGAAATTGCAATATTCTCTTTCACCTTCAGTGGTAAGTTTGATCTAAACATTTTTGGACAATTCAAAATCTTTTCAATTTTCTAATAGTAAATAACTTCCTCACTACCACGATTACACATAAACATCAAAAATATCCATTTAACATCTCTAAAATTGTCTTAACTACTCTACTTGGTGATGAGTGATACTTATAATATATTTTAGAACATTTTTCTTTAAGCTAAATTACTAGTGTTTCATCTCACTTAAACACCATTTAATCAAATATAGTTAGCTCCATATAAAAGCCAAGGTGTTTACAGTCTAATATATATCATCAACAACAGTAGTTTATTAGAAATACAGTCAAAGATATCCATTTAACAATAATACCTTTTAAACAGAATTTTATTAAGCTAAATTGCTACTATTTCATCAGCAATAATAGCTTAGCCTTTCTACATCACATGCAAGCATATCAAGCTATATAAATCACTCTTTTTTCTTTTCTTTTCTTTTGGAATAGAAAGAAAGAAATTTCCCTTATCTTCCCTTTGCACCCCTGCCATGTTTACTTTTTCTTTTTCTTTACCCCTCTACCAGACCTTTCTGTTTTTTTCCCATTAAACCACCGTAATGTCTGTAATGGAGTCTTCAGTTGCAGCCACATAAACATAACCTCTTTTAAGTGGTCAGTTCAATTGTCCTTCTCTAAGATAACACGCAGATCCCATGGAAGCTTACTTTGTAATGTCTGCAATAGATCATGTGTCTTGAGTTGTGGCCAAGCTGTCTTCTCCTTCTCCATTATAACACGCAGATCAGTTGCACTTATTTTCTTTCCATTTTCAGATTTTCCTTCTGCTTGTTGGATATTTTGCATATTCTGTTCAGGTGCAAGTTGCTTATCTAAAGCCTGATCAATAGAAGTGACTAATTTATCAAAACCACTTTTTTGTTCAGTTAAAAAACAATCAAGTCACTCTAGAACAATCTTCTGTCGTACTATAATCGCCTGTTGGGATAGTTGCACAGCTGTTAAAGAAGCCTGTATTTTGAGAAATGACTTCCGTATTTCTTCCATAGTAGTGGTAGATTAACAAAGCTTGGCAGGTGTCCAAGGATCCCAGGAACAAAGAGAAAGATGGTCTCCAATTCTTGGCAGTGGTCCAACACAGATGAATAAAAGAAAGGTCCTCTATTACTCAGTTCCACAGCACAATTATTCTCCCTTGGAGCGATAAAAGAAGATAAATCTTTTCCTTACTTAAAAAAATTCTGTCTTTCTCTCCGTTACGCAATTCGCCGCTTTTCAGCTCCATAGGGCGGAAGGTTTCATTCCCCCTCCATCCGAAGGGCTTCTTAATTAACAAGAAATACAGCTTATTCCACGGGTATCATTGCAGATAAAAAAAACAAAAATACGTTCCAATAGATCCGGTGTGTTCACAAAAGCTAAAACAAAACTAAAAAAAAGGTAGCATGTTGAGAATTTGAGAGGGCAGCTTTCTCTCCGGTACTACCTGGCTGAGAAAGCTTGATTTCCCCCACTAAATGTGGAATTGTCATTCTACATCATCTGGGGGTTTTGCCAAGCAACCTATCTTAGCTCCTACAGAGCTTAGATTGAGCCCCACGGCCCACCACCGGGCAGTTACCAGCGTGATAACAGAGGTTCATTAATCACGTCTGTATCATTCCGACGCCATACTTCTTCCTCTCACTCTTTCCTTCAGTAACAGCCTAAAACTTAGCACACATATCATTCCTGAAAGATGAATACAGGAAAACTGCAGGGTATTGGTGGGAGGGGGAAGTTGGTGTAGTTCGTCACGTAAATGGAATGCACTCCCCAGAGAGGTCCGCCTGGCGCCGTCGTTATTTGTTTTTTGGCGCCAGGCAAAGACCTTTTTATTTAAGCATTATTTTAATTAATATTATTTATTTATTTTATTCTTTGGCCAGGTTGACTCAAATTATATTGTTTTTATATTGTGATTATTTATTTATTGTTGTGAGCCTCCCCGAGGCTTTGGCGAATGGGGCGGCATAGAAGCTTCCTAAATAAATAAATAGATGGACACTCAGAATTGAAATGCCAACTGTTTTTCTTTCTTAATAGTATGGGCTTAGCCAGTTATTTTAAGTAAATAGTTCTGTTTACTGCTCTATCATGAAAAATCACTCCACAACAGAAGCCAAAGCCTTTTAAATGAACAGCAGTTTTTGCCACTTAAGATTGCTGAATGAGGAGGGCTGTCACAAGCTGAGGTTCTTCCTTCCAGCCCTTACAAATCACAGATCCACAGATCATTTTCCTTGCAAAACTTTCAAGACCCAATGTGGTGTGAAGTTTAAGAGCATTGGACTGGGATTCAGACAACCTGGATTCTAGTTTCCACTTGGCCATGGTGCCAACTGTGTGCCTGTGGACCAGTCAGAGACTCAGCCCAAACTACCTCACAGGGTTGTTGTTGTGGGGATAAGATTAAGAGCAGGAGGAGAATGATGTAAGCCGCTTTGAGTTCATAAGAAAAAAGCAGGCTATAAATCCTATAGATAAATTAAATGCCAATTGCCCAAGACTGCCATCCTCCTTACTCGCAATAAAGAATAAGCATAGCAAAATTATGAGTAAGCCAAGCAGAGGCAGCAAGTGGTGGAATGGTGCTGAACAGCTTGGTTCAGCATGGTTTCTTTGGCTAGTTCTGCTTTGAAGGTAGTAGTTCTGTCCTAGCGAAGCTTGAATACTGTTGACTTACGAATGCATCAGTGTGTTCCATTGCTTTATGAATATTATGAATTGGTGTGGGTGGTGCTGTTTGGTGGCTGGATCTTTAGGCTGGAACTGTCATTGTGCTGTTTTGTTTTGTTTTGTTTTGTTTTTTTTGATGCAGTAAAATACAGTTAATCAGATTATTTTGGATAGTAAATAACATTTTTTTGCTTGGGACATCTGTTGCATGTCCTTGACTAATACAGAGTCAATTTAATAATTCTTCAATGCATACCATTTCAGTGAACATGCCTTTCTTGCTACAATTGTCGTGATTTAAATAACTCTGACATAGTCTTTGAAAAAGTCGCAGGCATTATTTTCAAAGCATATTCTTAGGACTCATAGGAAACCTAGTTTTAAAGGTTTTTTTGAATTTCTGCATGGATCAATGTCCAAAATCTTTTAATTATTTCACAAGCCCACCACATATGCTAGAAAGTTCCATCCATCCTGTTACATTTCAAACATTTTCCATTGTCTATTTTGCCACTGACAAATTCTGTTGCTAGGATCTGTGTGTACTCCTTCAATCTCAAAAAATTCTAATTCATTTTCTTGAATTTTTGGTGAAGATGTTACTGTTTTTTGTTTAGGAGTTCTTACTGTGCCTTACCATAATAGAATAAAATACATGTTGTGATTTTACACTAGAATGCACGCAAATATTCTGACACACAATGAACATTTTGAAGGCATGGTTGACATACAGTTTTTTATAAATATTGGGTAACTTCAGGTTACTTGTACTTGTCTTCATGGCTTAGGAATAGCAAACTTCAAACTCACAAAATATGTTTCTGTAGTTTCTGGTCGTGATTACAGATCACAGTGGCAAATTGTGAGTTAATTAAGTATCCCACAGTCTGGATGCACACTGCCTATGAACTGCTTCATTTTCCATAAACAACCTTATCCATAATTAACCCATTAGTCTGTGTTTGGATATCAGATTTATAACTCTTGATCTCACCAGATTAATTAACCCCCAGTTTGTCCTTACAATGCGTGAATGTCTATTTTGTGCTGTGACTATGGTTATTTCCTTGGACTATCTAAATTCACTTTTGGGTTTTCTAAATGAGATTCAAAGGCATAACAGTTGGAGACCCAGGGCAGTGGGAGAACTCTTTTTAGGGTTGTACAGATTATGCTTTTCTCATCACACAGAAGGCACAATAGTGACTTTAACATTTGATGACATTTACTTTCAACATTTACTGAAGAAGTTAATGTTCACAAATAAAATGTCTTTCTTAATATATGTTGTTATGTGTGAGCCTATGGAGTTGTGTTGTATTGGATTTATGTTTTTCTGTAATTTCATGGGAGAAGATTGGTAACCTAAAGAAAGAAACAATTTTGTATCACAATTAAATGAGCAGAGAATCTAAATATTCAAAAGCAGCTTCCCAGAATGGATCATACACAGATCTTTCATAAATAGCAAAGGAGTAAGAAAAGAACTGTGAAACGTAAATAGAGCTACTTTTTAACAACTTCTGGAAAGGTCTGTATGTATGATATTTTAGTTAAGTTTTTTGTGACTAGGTAATCTGAGCAAAATTGCTGTAAAACTTCAAATGAGAACTAGCAATTTCCTGTAGTCAAATTGCACTGCATAGAATTAAAGTCAGGAGAAGGTCCCAACAACCTACTATTCAACCATGTATTGGGTTATATCTTGAGAGTTGTATGTTAAGTAGATAAATAATGTCACAATGTCTTGGTTGTGTAACATGTTTTTGTTTCCATGAGGAGGGGTAAGAATTGATGACTTAATTTCTCTTTTAAAGATTTAATACTTTAACTCTTTCCTTAAAAATCATAAATGAAATTCTCAATGTTTCTCTGATTTAAAAAGTAACAATTAAATTCTATTATAAATATGCAGAACCTACACTTATTTTCTCAGAAAAATGACATTACCCACCAATAAAAAATAGACATGTATTTCAGTTTTGTGTCTCATGACAATGTGTCTGTCCAGCCTGTCTACCAATTCTTGCTTCTTGAAAGTTCTGGACTTTCTGTTTTTCTCACTAAAAAAGACACATGCTAGATAGGATTGTTGTTCTGTGCTTATCTAGTAATGGAGTCAGACTAAAGCATGCGGAAGTGTTAAGGGAAACAAACAATATAGCAGGATGGATAAAAATCAATGCTTTTTAAAAAGTCCAAAAACTTGAATTCTTTAAAAATAAGTTTTGTTTTTTCTAGCCCAGTAACTTACCAAACCTTCCTTTTACCACTTTGTCATGGGCATTTCATTTTTGTTTGCTACTTTGTTTTTATGTAAGACTTGTCTAAGGAAAAGTGAAGCAGAAAGCAAGCAATATTGGAAAGAAAAAAAGAGAAAATTGCCTAGTGTACATCTTCTGTATTATCATGATAAGAGCTCAAATCTGTACCTATGTACTTGGTTATTAAGCATCATTAAATCCCTAGGTTTAATTAAGGATTTAAGGAATCCTTAAATTAATTAAGGAATTCAGATTGCTGGGAGAAATATCAACAACCTCAGATATACAGATGATACCACTCTAGTGGCAGAAAGTGAAGAGGAACTAAAGAGTCTCTTGATGAGGGTGAAGGAGAAGAGCACAAAAGTTGGCTTGAAACTCAACATTAAGAAAACTAAGATCATGGCACCCGGTCCTCTCACTTCCTGGCAAATAGATGGGGAAGAAATGGAGGTAGTGACAGATTTTATTTTCCTGGGTTCCAAGATTACTGCAGATGGGGACTGCAGCCAAGAAATTAAAAGACGCTTGCTCCTGGGGAGGAAAGCTATGGCAAATCTAGACAGCATACTAAAAAGCAGAGACATTACCCTGCCAACAAAAGTGCGTATAGTCAAGGCTATGGTTTTCCCAGTTACAATGTATGGCTGTGAAAGCTGGACCATAAGGAAGGCTGAGTGCCAAAGGATTGAGGCCTTTGAATTGTGGTGCTGGAGGAGACTCCTGCGAGTCCCTTGGACCGCAAGGTGATCAAACTGGTCAGTCCTAGGGTAGATCAACCCTGACTGCTCTTTAGAAAGCCAGATAGTGAAGATAAAACTCAAATACTTTAGCCACCTAATGAGGAGGAAGGACTCACTGAAGAAGAGCCTAATGCTGGGAACAATAGATGGCAAAAGAAGAAGGGGACGGCAGAGAATGAGGTGGTTAGATGGAGTCACTGAAGCAGTTGGTGTGAGCTTAAGTGGACTCCGGGGGATGGTGGAAGACAGGAAGGCCTGGAAGAATGTTGTCTATGGGGTCGCAATGGGTCGGTCCCGACTAACAACAACAAATCCCTAGAATGTATTTCTAAGGAGAAATGCATAGGATTGTCCTGTTAACTTCAAGCTGTCATGGATACTTCTTATAAGAAAGACCCTGCATAAAAACATTTTAAAGATATTTCTTCTATAGATAAAAGAAAATCATGTGAAATACATACCATGAAATAAGGAGATGCAGAACTCCCTTCTAAGAATGAAACAGCATAAATACTATTCTATTTAGTTGCAATTTAACATGGCTTTAGGCACTGGCCATTTGGGATGCCTATAAGCCTCTGAAAAAAGAGGATTATCATAGAATCATAGAGTTGGAAGGATCTATGATGACCATTGGATCCAATCCCCTGCTGTTGCAGGAAACCAATTTACACCATCCTACTCAGATGACTGTCCAGTTTCTTTTGAAAGTCTCTAGTGTGGGAGAGCCCACCACCTCTGTATGCAGCTGGTTCCACTGTTGTATTGCTCTGACAGTGAGGGAGCTTTTCCTAATTTCTAGCCTAAATTTGGCTGGCAAGCTGGTAAAGTTAGCACTCCTACTCATGCTGAGAGAGTCTAGGGCTGCTGGTCAAGGCTGCAGTCTTCAGGTCTGATTGTGAGTCTTTGTGCAGGAATTATTCATTAGCTTTTGTAAAGCATTTCCATTTTAGGTACTTTTAAGTAAGTCTGTGCTCATTTTTGTTCCTATGATTTTGAGCCATTATAATACAACTGCTAGTGTTGGGTTTTAATTTGCAAAAGCAGGTTTTGTCTCTTTTGAAATGGTCATCCGCAAAAGAAGTAAAGGGGATGGCAATTAGAAGAAGGGTTTTCTCAGTGGCTGCCCCCCTCCTTTGGAATGAGCTTCCTAAAGATGTTCGCTTGGCACTGTCACTACTTTCATTTCATTATCAGACAAAAACTGTCCTTTCTGCAAATATTTTGAGAAGTGGTTTTAACAACTGATTATAAGAGCTCACTCTGCTTATTCCTCCCTCTGCACTTGTAATGTTTAATTAATTGATTGGTGTTATTCTTTTTTAGGAAGTATTTTTCCATAATTGCTGTTCTAGAGTGTTGCACCAACTTGGCCACTAAGATACTGCTGAAACAATAGCACCAATAAATGTGAATGTTGCACCCCAAATGGTAAGTAATGTTGCTTTTAACTGCTTTACATTGTAGAAACAAAAGGCATGTGTCTGTTTTTCTGGTAACACATTAAACTTTTTTCAGACAGACACCCAAGCTAACTTGGTAGTGTGCAGAATAAGGCAACAGTATAGCATTTCTAAATATGTTACCTGGAAAACCCTATGATGAAACAATATGAAATGAAAAAAGAAATAGTCCCAGAATGTAACTCCCAGGTCAGAAAGCACTCAGCCAGCTACTGAGGAAGAGCAAATAACAAGAAGTAGTGCTGTTGCTAATGATGTAACTAGATCAAAACTGAAAGAAAATCTAGTGGCCAGTATGCATTGAGAAAAAGGAAAGTCAAGTGCTGCGCAACACATGCAATTTGAATGTAGAACATGAAGAGTAAACCAAGAATGTTACAGTATTTGGTGTGAGTGAACTAAAGTAGACTGAAATGTGACATTTTCATTCAGACAAATACAAAGTTTTCTCTGGAAATCACAGCTGGAAGAAACAGAGTGGTTCTAAGACTGAGGAAAGATGTAGCAGATGAAAAAAGGCTATAATACATTCTGGCTGAATAATATCAAAAATAATTCTCAGAAAACCTGTCAGCATGTCCATCATTAAAGACTATGCTCCAACAACAGATGCCAAAGAAGAAGAAATTGAAAATGTTTAAAGTGCCTGGAATATGAAGGAAGGAAACAAAGCAGAATCCAGTGTTCTGGGAAAATTTGGTCAAGGTGTCAAAAATGAAGCAGGCAAACTGACTGTGTGTGTTTTTGTGCACTTGTAGAAGAATGCATGCCAGTTCATTTCCCTTCCTCCTTTCTAAGTGTCTCACTGAATGTAGCCAGGTCCTCTTCCCTCTTCCTTTTACCTGTAAGTGGAGACACATGGTATTTGTGGCAAAACATTGCACAAGTAGGGGTATTTCTACCTTTTAAAATCTCCTTCACTGGTTCTTTAATATCAACAGTATATGCTCTGTTGAATTGCAGAGAGAAATGTACTTTCCCTGTTTGTGCCAGTTTCTGTTGCCTTATTAGAATGATTGCTAGCCCACCAGGGAAGAAAAGGGGAGCCCACAAAAAGACAACTCCTAGTTTGCTAAGGATTCTGGGAGTATTTTAGGAGGGTGGGTGTATTGTATCTGCACAGCAACTAAGTAAGAGATGAACCATTGTTCATCTTGGCCAGACTGTTAAGTAGTTTTGACCTGGTTTTTAGATGAGTTTTTTGAAGAATATATTTGGTAATCTTTATTGTTCTCTCTTTACAGCAGGTGGCGGTAGTGTAGAAGTAAAAAGTACTGCATCTGGAAGCTACCTTCTAGTCAATACTTAAATACAACATAAAATGTAGCTTTCTTATCTTGAATATAAACTGCTAGTTAACAAAGGATGTAATGATGGTGCAGTTAGTGGTCTCTTACTAAATCATTTAGTATAAAATATTCAGTCATTTTAAGTTAGTCCTGAAATGGGAAAGCTTTATATACTGATTTCAAGTACAACAGTATAAAAGTTTATTAGAATAGTACGAGCACTTCTGAACCTTTCCCTTTTTGTGCAGGGACAAGATTTATGACATCAACAATGCAGAATATCAACGTAAGGGGGAAAGCGTTAACATTTTCATTTCTTAACATACTAACCCATATACTCTGATACCATACAGAGTACTTATATTTGAAATTGAGTTTGGTATTAAAGAGCTGAAGAAGGGCTCCATACTTAAGACAGGTTTCTTTTTTCACCCTGAAAATACTATTCATGATAAAAGCAAGATTTTTTTTCAATGTGAATGAAATTTGGCACAAAGAATCTTGGTGAGGAGTACAAGTTCATCAAATATCAGAGAAATCTGATCATGACTTGAGTTATAGTTTTGAGTGAGAGTCACATCATAGATTATATTGGTCACATTTGCACATCACAATCAGCTACCTTGCAACTAAGGCACACAGTATGAGTTCTCTGTCTTCCTCCTCAGTCCTCCAGCTGGTATTCCAGAATTTCTTATGGCAGAATCTCTTGTCTTCCCCTTCTCACACCAATCACTATCCCTTTTCTTTGATTATCTTATTAAACTTTATTTTTTAAACCCTCAAAATGAGCAATTAGGAGTCATATTTTGGGGGATCCAGGAAATTGTGCAGTTCTGTTCATAATTTAAAAACACTTTGATCAGTATTTTGCAAGTATACAAGAGAATGCTTCCTGTTATCTCGTGTAGTCTTGTCTGATCAATTTCTTGTATATTTCTACTGGCAAAGGGAGCAGCCAAGTAGATTAGTGGAAATTGACAAGTAAAGACTGCATATAGGCTAATTTGCACTTACTCATTCACCAGTTGTTAATTGAAAAACACTGATAAAGGGGGGAAAGCAGTGTAAGTAAAGTGGGTGGACAATATCACCCCCTTAGCGATATAAACTTCTTAGTTTTAGATACTTCTGCCAGTTTTCCCACTTTGCTGGTGCTTTTTAATTGATAGCTAGGCAACTCTCTTCACAGTTGCCAATATACAACTTGATCTTGTAAGTCTGTTCCACTTCATCTTTCCCTTTGACTGTTGAGGCAGACAAGGAAATGGGCCCTGTAAGACTACACATACTGTGCAGCCTCAAGTTCGCTTATGTGCACTTGTGAAAGACTGACAGTGATAATAAAAATTGCACATACGTTAGTGCAATTTTCTGGGGTTGAAGAAGAAGAAGAAAAGGGTGGCAAATCCGTGTCTCTTGGGCATTCATGGAAGTGCTGTCACTGGCAGCTTCAGGTTTTTGCTGATCTTGACAAACACCTCACTAGTCAGTCTGGTTTAAATGAGCTCTAGAACACGCCATGGATTGACAGGTTGATTAGATCCTGAAAAATAAGCCATCCTTTGGGAAGTGGTCTGGGTTCAGACAGCATGACAACCCACTGCACCTAAGCGGGCTATCATGTTGTATAGAGTCCATTACTGCCTTCATGACATGAAAGTTAAGGCAGCCAGCCACCAAGTAATTTCTAAGAATTTGTTCAGATTAAAGGTTTATTTATCCTAGAGTTCCAAAGGAAAGTTGCCTAAAGCAAATTAAATACCTGAATGTATTTTATGCTAATAGCATCTCATGCTATCCCATATGAATTGCTACTAAAGTCTGGCCCCAAAAAGCTAGTTCATAAAAATACTCCAGCTGACTACTAATTGTTCAACATAATTTGCATGTCCTTTGCTTGAATGTGGATGTATATCTGTTTAATGTTTATACATCCTGGAATATTTGATATATTTCTAATAACTTCCATTTAAAGGCATGTTTCCATATAGAGAGGCTAAACTTTGTTCAAGTCTAACTTTTCTAAACAATCAGTATAGATACAGTACATGTTTCATAATCACCTTTAATGCTACTGATTCAGAATAATTTCACATTCTCAAAATGGACCTGTTTTGGCAGTACTTTGACCCCCGGATTCTACCATTGTCTGAGCTGGTTCGTAGAAAAAACCAGGATTCTTTCACAAGTTTGGCTCTTCATGATTATGTGTCTTCAAAATAATGAGGGACCTTAATAATTAAGAGTATTGGATATTTTAAGTTACCATAATACTAACTAACATGCAAGCAGACATTTACATAAATGATTTGGCAAATTTGTGGGTAACTTGACTGCTCATGGTTCTGTACCTTTCAGAAATGGCATGTACAGAAGAATGTGTGTGGTAACTGAGATTGTGAGAACAAGCTTTTCCCTCCATCCATGCAGATTTACTTAGGGTTCAACTAATGGGTTTGTAGTTGAGGCAGCTAGAAAAGTGCATTGTACATGTAAACTTTTTATTGCCTTTGAAATAAACACATATAAGTCTGGGAACCGAACCTGATATCATAAATCCTTTATCCAGTAAGTTGTATGGAAGGGGCTTTTGTTTATTTAAATACACATCAGCCCTCTTTTAATTAAATGTCTACATTTTATAAACTGTTACTGATTTCTTTCTGGTTAAAGAAAGGTTTATGGAAATTTGGATTACATGGATTTCCATTTCTGTTTTATGCCTTACTAATTTGCACTCTGCTTTGATGGGAGATTTACTACTTTTTAAGTAAATACTAAACTACATATTGACTCTGTCCAAAGTAAATTATACATGTATGCTAACCAGGATCAAATTCTTTTTTTAAAAATAATTTATTTTAAACTGAATAGGAACTACTTTTTATGTTGTCTTTTTATCATACTGAACTTGGAAGTTCTTGAAAATTGTTGTAACTTGTTTTGGGAATTTTATAAAGAAAAGATGGCCTGTTCAGCAGAATAACATCTGATTGATACCATACATCATGCTGACCTTGCTGCAAAAAAAATTCTCAAGGGTGCAGCCAACACATCAAAATCATCTTGTATTTACAGATTTTTTGATTCAGAATAGAGTCTAAGGACATGTAGACCAGGTTTGGATTACAGGCCATGGCTAACCCACAGTGAGCCCATTCTTCTGTACCCATGGGCATTAGGCTGTACATGCAATCCTAATTTCTAGATTTTCCAATCCACAGTGAGTGTGGTGTATGTGAGGGTTGTTTATTGCTTGCATATTCCACGCTCACCAGGTTCACAAGTCATAACAAACCCCAAGCATGGGCTACATATTCAATCTGGTAGTTGCAGCAGTCTTTCCTTGAATAAAATAATCTGTGTGGGCTGTTGTGTAATGTAAGAAATTTTAATAGTTTATTCACCTAATACTGTAAAGACTATCTCAGCACTATTATTTCCTAACTGTATTCTCAATTCTGAAGACCTGCACAACTTTACATGTACATTTATACCAGGGATGGGCAGTGTTTTTGCCCCTGAGGTTCTCATGTGGTAGTGAGTGTGTCCAGAGCCAACACTGGGTGGTGGTGTAGATCCCAATCCCTCCCTCAAACATACACAAAGACATACCTATTTTTCCTTCTTGGTGTCACACACACTCATTCCCTTTTTTGCATGTACGCTTTCAAACTTCCTCCTTATCTTTCTCCCACAGGGAATGCTTCAGGAATATCTTTAAATTCTCACTTTGTGGGCAGGGAAGGCTTTCTTCTCCCTGCTTTGAAAAAGGAAATAGTTGCTCTAGCCCAACAAACCTTATTCTTAGCCTTATTCTTGAGAGTGCATGTAGGGCTGGAGATTCATTTGCCACTCCAGTTATCTGTATTCCATGGCTTCTCCCTGAGAAAGAAGATATTATCAGATGTTTGATTTTAAAAAAGCTCAATCTGTTTTGCCAAGGCAAGTTTCCTAGTTGAGCAGTAAAATGGGCTGCTTTTGCATTGAAAGTGGCTTAAGAAGTAGCCTTCTTGGACCTTAGCATGCAGCTTTTCTAAATACGTTCAAAGCTGTATTGTTCAAAGTGTTTTAGATATTTAATACAGTTCATAATGTTGAAAGATAGTGCAATCATGCTGATAAACTTATAAAGGAAACATGATGTATAGACATTCTGAAATAAGCAGTAGACTTAACATTAAAATAAATGTTGCTAGCAACTGTTCTATTTTCATTATTTGCTCGATAATACTTCTTAAAAGCTTGTAATGCCCATATGATGTAGAGATAGTGAAATGCCTCTATCTTTTGCCACTCTAACGTGCTGTGTTCTATATTTTCTCTCTTCAGAATGTTATTTTTCTCTTGAGACAATTACTCTCAAGAGACAAACTATAAAATATAAGGCTTGATAGCAAGAAGTCTGTTGTAGGCTGGAATCAAAAGAACAAATTTAGGTGGCTCAGTTTGGAACACCCTGTGGAATCAATGATTTTTTATTCTGAACAGTAGTTTGTTATAGTCTATGCAGGATGCTTTTTAAAGTCCTCTTGTCTTCAAAATAGACAGCACTGAAGAAAATGAGCTCGCTCATCAGTTACTCGCTATTTGACAGAAGTTCATTTGCAGTTGCCCAATTTACAGTTCTTCCTCTTGTTAGGTACCAAAAATACAACTGAATGTGTTGTGCATTCTTCGTTGTATACATTTCAGTATTTGACCAGAAGGGAAATAATTCTCCACCTGTAAATATGGCATATTATTGTATTTTCTACCTGCAGCTAAGATACCAGGCCATAACTTACCTATCCATTTGTTGTTATGTATCATCAAATTGTCTGCAACTTTTGGGTACCCTATCAATGAAAGCCTTCCATAATGTTCTATCCATGTCAGCTCTGTTCAGCTCTCCCAAGTTCAAAGCTATGCCTTCCTTTATGTATCCAGTCATTCTCATATTTGATCTTCCCTGTCATCTTCTGCATTTGACTTTCCTTAACATGATTGTCTTCTTCAAAGAGTTTTGCCTTCTCATGCCTTCTCATGTTGGAAGTACGACAGCCTCAGTTTTGTCATTTTTGCTTCTAGAGAAAGCTTTGGCTTGATTTGATTTAGGATCTACTTGTTTGTCTTTCTGTCAGTCCAAGGTATTCACAATGGTCTCCTCCAGCACTGTTTTGAATGCATCAATTATCAGGACTCATTTCATGTCATTGCTGCTTTCTGCCAGTGGTATGGTATTATTTATATATCTTAAATTAGTGATATTTCTTCCTCCAATTTTCAATTCTTCCTCTGATTCTAATCCAACTTTCCTTATTAAATGTTTCACATTGAGACTGAATAGACAGAGAGATATATCTTCCTTGTCTGTCACCATTGCATATGGAAAATAATTCTGTCTCCCCACATTTCATGATACCTATCCATAAGTGTTCCTATATTTTCCCCTTGTATAGATTCCTACTTATCCACAGTAATAATGTAAATCCTCAGAAGGCTTCTATCCGGGGCTGTACATAACAAGGGAAAAAATAAGCTGAATTGTATGACAGAAACAGAGCACTGGGTTACCTTTTTTCCCTTAATTAGTTACTTATGAACCCTGTTCATTGTTTTGTTTTTTAAAGCACAGCAAAGTAATATGGGGTGCCTCTTGGACAGTAAGCCACTATCTCCACTACATGGCAATAACACCTCCTCTGATGTGTGATTTAGTCATTGTACTTTAATGCTTGGGGAAGCCTTTGTGGGCTTTCTTATCTTTCACTCAGAGTAGCTTTTAGAAGATATGTTGATCTATGTTCTGGATAAGAGTTAATTAGCATTTTCCAAGTTCCTGGAAACTCTTTGCAGATTTTAATTTGTTCTTTGTTTTTTTGTCATAGATTATAAGCACACCACAAAAACTGACAAATTCAGGAAATCTTCTGATTGGGAGTCCATATACCATAGCACCAGCCATGGTTACTCAGACACACATATCAGAAACAGCTGGCTGGATTCCAGGGTAAATACTCAATTTGCATTTCCTTGTTCTGGCATGTTCATTTTAAGTTTTAAGTATGATTTTGTCATATTTAGGACATCATGTAATTGGTGTGAATCCACTTCTTAATTCATGTGAGTAAACATTTTGCTTGACTTATTTGTCAGTTGTTTAATTGTGCAATTAAAACAAGTCCTTACAACTTCTGTACATTTCTGTTAAAGACAGTATGTGCTTATATGAAATTCTGGATTAAGAGAAGGACATTATAAAGAAGGAGGTGAAGAAAAGAGGTCCAAGTAGAATGGGAATTTTTTTATGGCTTTTGTTTTAATAAAAATATAGCACAGTTATTTTGTCAACATACCATCTTTTTCCAACTATAAGATGCCTGTTTTGGACACACCCCACTTTTCTTACTGATCTCCAGAGCAAGCTTCTGCTGTGCGTGCTCACGCATTGCCAACCCGCCTCCCCCCCCAATCGTGCCCACACCTGTCTCCCCCCACAAGCACGCCCGCATTTGCATCAATCTACCCCCCCACCATGCCTGCAGTTCTCTCGCCCGCCCCCCCGTGTATAAGGTGCCCCTCCATTTTTAGATAAATATTTTTTTAAAAAAGTATCATACACAGAAAAATACAGTAACTTCCCTTTGTATACAGTAAAATGGATTGTTGTTGCATTGAAATTACTCAAAACATGAAGTATGTATGTTCAGAGAGGCAGCACATCTGAGTTTTTCTGTGTCAGTTGCTTGCCTTAGAAAAACTCTTACAAAAAGGAATCCAAACCATTTATGTTATTTGGACTCAATTTTAACTCAAGGCTAATTTCCATTTCAATGGTTCCCAATTACCTTTTGCAGATTTGTGTTAAATATGTTTGACTATTTTTAAAAATGATTAAAATAGTCTTAAAGTATTCAGAATATGTATAAACATGGGATAAAATGTACAGTGTAACAGTGCATGCTTTGGTGTCTTTCATTTACAGGGACAGAAAACGAACTCAAGACTTCATGGAATCAGATTTTTCAGAAAGGTGTGTGCATGTTGGCAGCATCCAAATTCAATCTTAAGATAAAATATACAACTTCATTTTGATTATGATAGCAAAATTCCATTTTTATATTATGCTGAATCTTATCTATTCTCTCTGACCCCAAATTAGCTTAGTTCACTATGCAAGATGAAATTCTGCTCTGCTGTACATTCTTTGCCTACAGTCCCCTACATTTCTCTTAAAAATTACATTGTTTTAAGCTGCACATGTATATTTAACGGCACAGTCCAACAACCCTTGCCCTTGATGCAGATAAGCCTTTAATTTGGAGATTTACATGCATCCAATGGAGAAAAAACTGCACTGACTGCCTCTCCAAGGTAACAAATTGTCCTTGGTGAGGAGCAAAAAGATCTTGCTTTGGGGAGCAGGAAGACAATAATGAGAAGGCTGGGGCCAACAGTTTATGCCATATCCCAGCAGTGCCCCAGCTTCCTTCTCACTTCATATAAATCATTGAAAAAGGCTCTCTAGCTGAAATGCGGGGCATGGGCACAGCAGTGGTGAAGATGGCTACCCTACTTGGAAGAGCAGCAGTGAAGGAACTAGAAAAGATTATCAAGTGTATGGGATGTTTTATTAGTGACCAAGGACAAGATCATCCAAACTATTGTATTCCCAATGTAAGGGTGTAAAAGCTGGACATTGAGGAAAGCTGACAGGAAGAAAATAAAAAGAAGTTTGTGATACCCTGGACTGACAGAAAGACAGACAAGTAGATCCCAGATCGAATCAAGCAAAAGCTTTCCCTAGAAGCAACATGACAAAACCGATATTGTCATACTTTGGACACAACATGAGAAGACTCATTGGAGAAGCTAGTCATGTTAGGCAGAAGTTGAAGGCAGAAGATGAAAGAGAAGACCAAACATTTAGATACTGGACTGTGCGGAAATGGACAGATTGACTTTGACTCTTAAGGAAAAAGATACATACTACTATCAAACTTGGGACTTTTTATCATTGGTTAGAGAAATGGAATTATATTTAGGGCTGAAATATACAGTAATTGTAAAGATAACCCAGTATGTCTGATGTCTTTGGAATAATCATTCTTTTAATTGGTAGAAAATAATAAAAAACTTGAAAACCTGAGAAGATCAAACATTTCCAAACAGAGATTAGGCACCTGGAGAGTCAAGACTTGGTCATTTTTGAACCAACACTAAGCTCATTTGTTTTTCTTTGTGGTCCCCTGTGTACACATAGGTTCTTTGATTATACAGTGTAAAAATATTAAATGCAGGTAAGGAGCTTATTTATATTTGCTGATAACACAGTTGCTCACTCAGCCACCCACATGTTAAGGTTTTGTCCATTTTTGTTTTAGCAGCTTTCTAGACGTATTGTTGACTTCTCTCACATCTTTCTCGTTGAACTTTTTATGTTACTCCCCTGCCACTATCCTAACTTGTAACAATTCAGATTTATTTATTTTTATTTATTTATTTAGGGAACTTCTATGCTGCCCCATTCACCGAAGCCTTGGGGCGGCTCACAAACATAAATAAATAACATCATATAAAACAATATAATTTAACAGTATAAATTAAGTCGTCCTGGCCAAAGAATAAAATAATATTAACAATTAAAATAACATTTGAATAAAAAGGCATGGCATATTTCAAGGAAAGGTTTCACATAGCTGTGGTGCAGGACACAGTAGTACATCTCCATACTTTATGATAAGCTCTTTGATGTTTAGAGCAGAAGGAAATGTTCCAATCTTCCTTTATTAACAGAACATGAAACCTCTGGGAGAGATCATTAGGAGGTGTGGGCTGCGGAATCATCAGTACACTGATGATACCCAGTTCTACCTCTCTTTTTCAACCAATCCGGGTGAGGCAGTGGCTGTACTGAACCGGTGCCTGGCCAAGGTAATGGGCTGGATGAGGGCCAATAAACGGAAGCTCAGGACGGAGGTCCTGTTGGTATGCGGTTCGGGCTTCGGGGTAGGGGACCTGGACCTTGTCCTGAATGGGGTTGCACTCCCTCTTAGGGACAGGGTCTGCAGCTTGGGAGTGCTCCTCGACCCAGAGCTGTCGTTAGAAGCTCAGGGGACGGCGGTGACGAGGAGCGCTTTCCTTCAGCTTCGGCTGATCCATCAGCTGCGTCCCTACCTGGAGAACGATTGCCTGGCGACAGTGACACATGCATTGGTAACTTCCCGATTAGACTTCTGTAACATGCTCTACATGGGGCTGCCCTTGAAGATGGTCCGGATACTTCAGACGGTGCAAAATAGAGCTGCCAGGTTGCTGACGGGGACTGGGTGTTGTTCTCATATAACCCCAGTCCTCCATCAGCTGCACTGGCTACCCATCAAAGTCCTGGCCCAATTCAAGGTGCTGGTTATCACCTATAAAGCCCTTAACGGCTTGGGACCTGGTTATCTAAAGGAGTGCTTGCGTCCATATCTGCCCTCCCGCCCCTTGAGATCGGAGGCAGAGGCCCTTCTCCGGGAACCCTCTGTGAAAGATATTAGGAGGGTGAGTACCCGGAGGAGGGCCTTCTCTGCGGTGGCACCCCACTTATGGAATGTGCTCCTCACAGAGGTCCGCCTGGCGCCGTCGTTATTTGTTTTTCAGTGCCAGGCCAAGACCTTTTTATTTAAACATTATTTTAATTGTTGAATTTAATTATTGATTTTATATTTATGCCGGGATGTTTCCAGTTTTTTATGTATTTGTATAGCTATTTATTTGTATTGGAAGCCGCCCCGAGGCTTTTGCGAATGGGGCAGCATATAAGTGTTCCAAACAAACAAACAAACAAATAAATAAAATATTTAAAGCCTGAATGAGTTAAGCTGTGGCTCACCTATACAGGTGCTTAGTTCCTTTTGATCCATTTCTTTTCTGTGAATTACAAAACTTGTATGCCTGCAGATGACTGTGGAGTATGTGGGGTTCTGCTTTTGAGAATTTTTATGTTTTTTTTTATCAAAACAAAAGTCATACAAATTTGTGACACAAGTATGCCTCTTGTTTGCTTATTTTTTAATTTAGCCTTCAAGTAGTATTTGCTTTCTACTTTCCTGTGATTTTTCTTCATCTAGATTTTTTCTCTCAAGTATTCAGCATTCCATAATGAAATTATTCTATAATAAACATCTTTGAGCTTTTCCAGGAATTTTGCATGTATAAACCAAATCCAGCATTGACTGGAAGCAGGTAGAAATGGAAACTTCACAGCATTGTTCTTGGAAACTGTTGCTTGATTTTCCCAATATATTTATTGGGAAAACTCATGCTAAATGTTTATCCTGAAGGTCTGCTATGAATGCAAGCCTCTGATGCCATTGGTTTCATATAATATTTGGCTCATATTTTAAAATCAAGTGTTCCTTCCATACTCAGCTCAATTGCAAAACAGGAATTCAGTGCATCAGAAGATAAGTCTCCCAGTCTGCTGACTTTCAAGTTTCTTGGTGCTGAGTAGAGCAGGAAGCAGCAGTAGTAGTGGGGATTTGTGGGGTGGAAACAGGTGAGTAGGGGGACGGGCATTCTGAGGACTGCACCTGAAAGGTGCCAGTTTTCCAACCCCTTGTTTAATATATAATATAAAGATAATGCCTGTTATGAAAAATCAGCAATTGGTTTTCTTTTTTATTCAAGAACCGAATTTTATTTTTCACAGTAAAAGAAGCAAAAAAGGAGATAAAAATGGAAAAGGTCTGAGGCATTTTTCAAGGAAAGTATGTGAAAAGGTGCAGCGTAAAGGAACAACATCTTATAATGAAGTTGCAGATGAACTTGTATCAGAGTTTACAAATTCTAATAGCCACTTATCTACAGATTCAGTAAGTTAAAAAGTATCAAATATTTTCTTAAGTTTCTGTGCTCTGTTCTGATTTGTTGCAGTCAGCTTGTTTTTTATGATGGAAGTGACACATTTTGGATTATATCCAATTTGTCTTGTACTAATGAAAAACACTCACATTACCTTTCTTTTTTTGCTGTCCTCCACCCTTGTCACTCACATGGTTCTCTAGTTCTCAGAAGCTACATTTCCAAGTAACAAGGGACTGCAGCAGGTAGAAGAATCAGTGAAAATGGTGGAAGTAATTTCTGCTAGATCAAAGCAACAACTGATTATAATGGTGTGTTAGAAATGTAATAGTGAAAGAATGTAATAGGAATTTCCACAGCAGCCCCCAGAAATAAGATCTTTTAGGTTGGGGAATCTTCAAACAAGGCTTAGAATATGCTGTGGAATAATTGTAATGGGAGGTAGAGGTAGCTTGTATGAGTAGCAGGCATGTTCACTTCAAAGTGATTCAGCAGATCTTCCCTAATCCTTGCACTGCATCTCAGGTTCTTCCTGAGGCTCCCTTAACTTATGACATTCTCGGCAGCCCAGGGGACTGTAATGGAAGGGCTAGTTCTTTAAAAGCCTAGTTGCATAACCTTCATTGGTTGTGAAGGTGGACAAGCCTCTTTGTCAGGGGACAGAAAGAAGAATGTAATACACACGGTCTTAAATTGTGCTTATTTTTAATATTCTGTTTCAACCAGCATGTGCCAAACTGACTCATCTCAGTTTCCTGTGGACTGCACAACCTGTGGCCTCTTTTTTCATTTTTTTTTTAAATTCATGTTATTTTCTTAACATAAACAAATGCAGTAAGAAAAAAGTACATATAAAATAAGGTAAAATAGAATAAATGTCAAGGAATTTTAAACAGATACAACCAATGCATTCAAATCCACTGGTTTATCTATCTTTCTGTTATTCAGCACTCTATGGAAATTCAGTGAGAAGTAGTTATTAATCTGTACACCAACAAGTTTTCCTATCACTGTATGTCAACCTGCGACCTCTTGAGGCCTTAATTGTGGCTGTCATGGGTGGTCTGATCTTCCTACCACTGCTAAATTTCCTTGCCCAGTGACCCTGATACTAATCACTCTTTCCTCATGCGACCTGACCCTGGATTGCTGGAGGAGGGAGTAGAGAGAAGGCTAGCTGGACTAAAGAATTATGTGTATCATGGTCTTGTGTGGTTCTGTGTGTAGCCCATGATACCTGAGCCAGCATCACGTGTGGCCTCAGCACTGAAAGGCTGCAAACTGCTGGCTTCTTCAAGGAAAAGAACTGTTGATTAAGTCATATATTTGTCCCTTTGGGTCTGTTCAAATTACCATATTTTTCCGTGTATAAGACAATACTTTTTCTTAAAAACACTCACCTAAAAATGGAGGGGCATCTTATACATAGGGGGCCAAGAGGAAAACCGCAGGTGCGTGCAGCGAGGCAGTGCGTGTGCGGGGGGCAGCAGCAAGGTGGTGATCAGTAGGAAAAGTGGGGGGCAGCATGTGTGGGGGGGCGGTGTTGGGGCGGTGTTGAGGTAGTGTGCACTCAAGGGCGGCAGCAACTTGCTCATTCGGAGATTGGTAGGAAAAGTGGGGGGCGTCCTATACATGGGGGCGTCTTATAGATGGAAAAATACGGTTGATTTACTCCTAATTAGTCTAGTAGTAAACTTAACATTGTTAACTTCTGTTCAAGCTTGAACAGATCATGATCACTACTTCATGAACCCTATGAGGAGAGATTGAAAGAACTGGGAATGTTTAACCTTGAGAAGAGAAGACTGAGGGGAGATAGCACAGTACTCTTCAAGTACTTTAAAGGGTGTCACAAATAGGAAGGCTAGGATCCTCTTCTTGACTATCCCAGAGTGCAGGACGGAGAATAACAAGCTCAAGTTATAGGCATCCAGGTTCCAGCTGAACATCAGGGAGAACTTCCGGACTGTTAGAGTACTCTGACTATGGAACCAACTACCTAGATTCTCCCATACTAGAGGCATTCAAAATGTAACTGGACAGCCGTCTGAGAGGGATGGTTTAACTTGAGTCCTGCACTGAGCAGAAGGTTGGAGATGATAGCATTCTGGCTCCTTCCAACTCTACTGTTCTACGCTTCAGTCATAATCATTTTTGTATGCAGTACTAGGAACAAATGGATTTAGAAAATATATACTGTTTCAAGCATGCAATGGCTTCAGAATGCATAATTGCAGCAAAAAAAGACAAACTTCACATTATTCTTTGTGTGTATTTTCATATTTATGTAGATAAAATGGTATGTTTGAAGTGGCTCTTTAGTGTCAAATGAATGGGTTATGACTGATTTACTATAAATACCCAAGAGCAGTGGTTCTCAAATTTTATTTTTCACAGACCTCTTGAAAATTGTTGGAGGCCTCAGCAGGCCATTTAATAAACCTTTTCTATTCTACAAATCAAAGCACATATTTTTTTCCTTTAAAGCCAGCACTGTATTATGAAAACATGAACCCTAGACTAGTCCGCTGAGAAGGGCCTCTTTAACTCTTTCTTAAGGGAAAAATTAATAGACTACACCAATTAATAGACTGCTCTAGGCCTTGTTGGCCTTTCAAGTAATCTGACTGTGCTCAAAATGTCCTCAGAGTCAGTCATTAGAAAACTGAATCAAGTACAAGGACAACTATTAAATACTCTTAACTGTTGTGCACCCTTTTGGCAGATCACTGTTTGAGAACTGCACTGTTAATAGCAGTATTTATACCACAGAAAGATTGTTAAAGTTCTTATCTTACAGATTTCAAAAGAAAATGTATATACATTTTACATGAAAACGCTCCTTTTATAAGCTATGCTAGACTGGGATGTATGCAATAAAAATGGGGAATCACGACTGTGTGTGTTTCTGGGTTTTCCACAAGGCTAGCTATAAAGAATAGTTCTAGTAATAACTTGCCTGCAGTAAGAATTCAAGTAGCATGGTGAAACATTGATATGTATTTTTATTAAATGAATTATTTTTGACATCTCCAGTAAGCTAATGATATATTTAACTACTGCAATTTAAGCAGGCCTACGATCAGAAGAATATTAGACGGAGAGTTTATGATGCCCTCAATGTGTTGATGGCAATGAACATTATTTCAAAGGAGAAAAAAGAAATCAAATGGATAGGTCTTCCTACAAACTCAGCTCAAGAATGTCAAAATCTAGAAGTGAGTAAAGTGTGGAAAATGTATTGGTGGACATTGTTGCTAAAAAAGGAATTCATATGAATTATTTTTATTGTTATTTATTTTATAGTTATTTGTTTATTACTTTTCAATAAAAGAGCACTACAGGATATTTAGATCATGTTCGATTAAAATTTGTACATACATTTGGAGCTCAATCAAAATGACTGTTTAGACTTCACGTCAACTACCACTGCCTCTTATTGAAATACTATTGTACTTTTTTGACTTCCCACTAGATGTATTAATTCATTTGAGGCAAAAAAGGTCTAGTGGCATTTATAGCATTTCTGGGAATTTCGCAACATGTGTCTCATAAGTTCCCTAAAATAATTGGTGCATTTAAAAAACAAATGTTTAATTTTGTCTTGAATTTTGTGTTCCTTTTGAAGATAGAGAAGCAGCGTCGTATAGAACGAATAAAACAAAAGAGATCTCAGCTACAGGAACTTCTACTGCAGGTAAATTTTTTCTGTAAGATACCACTTGCATACAAAACTACTGTGGTTAACAGTATGTCTCAGCTGTTTTGTTATACATTAAACGATTCCTAAATTGTGGAAGGCACAACTGAAATGTTATTTTCATCCATTTAAGTTATTCAGTGTGCTGTAGTGGTTAAGAGTGGGTCTGACACTCAAGCAGTCTGGGTTCTAGTTCCTGTACAGCCATGGAGCCAACTTGGTGACTTTTGGCCAGTCACAGACTCTAAGCCCAACCTACCTCACAAGACTGTTGTTGTGGGGATAAAATTGAGAGCAACAGGAGGAGAGTTACATTAGCCACTTCTTTTTTTAAAAAAGGGAAAAGGTGGGATATGAATCTAATAAATCCTGTAATATATTTCCTCTTATTGTATTTTGAGATATAGCATAAATCCTATGACAATCTGTAAAAATTCATATTCTTTGTCACAAAAGCCCATGAACACAAAATGGGTCCAAAATTTGTCCACTATTACCCTGCTATGTGACACATTTTCTAAATCAACTTATACTTGTTTAGTTTAACATTGTCTCATTCTAACCCTATAGCTGAGATAGTAAAATGTCAACTTTTCTGGTGCTGTACCCAATGTTGGCATGTTATTAAATTCTGGCAATAACTTGCAAATGATTTTGGTTTTGTTTTAATCTGATCATTTTTTCCTCTTTGTGCAGCAAATTGCTTTCAAAAAGTTGGTACAGAGAAATCGACAAAGTGAACATCAGACTCGGGCAGCCCCCCAAGTTAATTCTACAATACAACTGCCTTTTCTAGTAATAAATACAAGCAAAAAAACTGTTATTGATTGTAGCATCTCTTCTGACAAGTGAGTATGGTATGGCAGCACATAATGGTTTGTTGATTCTCTTTTATGGTTTGCTTAAAGAGCCCGTTTTCTTAAAATCAGTGAATTTCTTCCCAAAGTCATCTTTGTAGAAAATGGTAAAACTGCAGACTTATCACATTTTCAAGACATTAGCTATTTCTTCTTGAGCATACTTGTTCCTGTGAAGTTTTAATGTAAAGAGCTGGTAGAATAAAATGGTCACACTGCAGCCGGTTGAACTGCAAGTAGTGATGTCAGGTTGTCTAGTAAAGATGTGTAAACCTAGTGTTTCATCAGGCTTTCACAAAATTGCTCACCATTGTCAAGCAAGTCTCTCTCTCCACAGATATGCATTCTGAATCAGCAAATTTTATTTCAGGGAAATAATATACTCATAATGTAGTTAAACATTCCAAGCTGGAGAAATTTGTATTCCAAGTCAAATAAATTTAGTTAATGCTGGTACTTACGGGCATTTTAATGACAGTATTGCAATGGATGAATATGTATTTTGAAATTCTAGGATTCATCATAAATTTTTACACCTCAAGGTAGCACCTGGCTTTGGATTTCATGGTGTCATATTTGGACTCATTTCAGACACTGAAAGTTAGTCAACTGATTGCTCAGATAAGTGAGGAAATTTAGAGTATGAATACACATTTCTATTTGTAGGTATATTATCCCCATATAAGTCATATCTCTAAAAAAGAGAAATGGGGTTCTCCAGTTGATTGCAGGAGGCCACCAGCATTTGGGGAAGGCCCTATCCTAGATGTTTCAAAGACTCCTGACTATGCTTCCAAGACTCCAGCAGCCAATCTCTTTGACTGCCCAACTCCAGGGACCTCCAGAACTATGCCACCACTGTTATGCCACCATGCCAATCCAGCTCTTCTGCCCCCCTGCTTCCCCAGTCCTCCCTCAGCATTGAGTGTTGTGGACTGTGAGTCCGACACAGAGACAACATCCTCCATTGCTCCAGTGTCCTCCAGGCATGACTATGGGCACCAAGGGCTCCACTTCTCCATCAGTGGACATGGGCCATGTTTTTGAATACATACAGAGGATGGCCTAGGCCAGTGGTGGTGAACCTATGGCATGTTTGCCACAGCAGGCATGCAGAGCCCTCTCTGTCGGCACGCAAGCCAAGTCACCCCAGAATCGCCCCAGCAGTTGAGCATCGGATAACAGCGCACATTGGGGCCGTGCACATGCTCGGAAAGGAGTAGTGGTGCCAGGCGATGATGTCATGAGCCACGACTCATTAGCTGCATCTTGTCCAAGCTTTCTCATGGCCGGTCAGTGTCCTGCCTGTGAGTTGTTTTTTCTAAACTAAAACCTCAGTATTCAGGTTTTATTGCAGTGTTGGCACTTTGTGATAAATAAGTGGGTTTTGGGTTGCAGTTTGGGCACTCGGTCTCTAAAAGGTTCTTCATCACTGGCCTAGGCCCTTGGACTCAGTACACAGCTGAACTGGAGAGAATGTCAGACTTGGTTTTCAGCACTGTGCAGACAGAGGAATTGACACCGGAGACCATCTCCTTCCTCCCAACTCTACAGAGGCAAACCCTCCAGTACTCTTGGAAGACTCTGTCCAGTATGGCACCAATGTCCAGATGGCTTGAGAGAATGTATAGGGTGCAAGAGAAGGATGAAGCTTTCCTTTTTCAAAACCCTAAGTCAGATTTGATCAACACAGAATCTTGCAATGGGAGCACTCCATGCCATAAGACAAAGAGGGATGCTTCCTGAGCCTTGGGACTCAAGGTGACCAACTACCAGGCTACCATGGCAAGCTACCAGATTTTCCTTTGGGAGAACCTTGGGGATCTCTGTGGCCACCTCCCAGAATAGCAATGAGAACTTGCCAAAGTTTTCCAGGCTTAGGTGATACACTTTTCCTGAATGTAGATTAATACTGCCAGGCATGGAGTGGACCATGCTGTGAAGGCTGATTGATGCAGTGATTGTACATAGCCATGCCTGGCTATGTTCAACTGGTCTCTCACAGGAGGGCTGTTCTGCCATTCAACAGAGATGGGCTCTTTAACATGAGGACCAACAAGTGTATGGACACACTTCATAAAACACAGAAAGATGGAGATCTACCAGCCACACTCCTTGAGACCACATTTTTCAAGGTCATCATGATCATTGGCAGTGCTGTTTCCCTGGGCTGGCCTCCTTTATTCTTTGTTTTGAAGATCATTTGTCTCTCTTCCTTCCAACTTGGGAAGCCTGGGTTCTTTCTTTCTGTTGTGGTGAGAGGTTACAAGACCAAGTTCAGCAGGGTCCTTCCTCTCAGCCCCATAAAAGCTACAGCTACAGCTCCACTGGACCCAGAGGACATTAGCAACTACAGGCTGGGGCCACCAGTGACCAGTGATTAATAGTTTTTGGGCAAGGTGTTTGAGCAGGTGGTGGCTGAACAATTCCAGGCACTCTTGGATGAAACTGACCATATTGATCAATTTCAATCAGGCTTCAGGGCTGGGATTGGAATGGAGACTGACTTGGTTGCCATGTGGGATGACCTTTGCCAGGAGAAATACAAGGACAGAATGTGAGCCTGATGGTTCTCTGGCACCTCTCAATGGCTTTCAATTCCATCAACTATGTTATCATTCTGGATAGGCTGGCTGGATTGGGAGTTGGAGGAACTTCTCTGTAGTGCTTCCTTTTCTACTTGACCAGCTGATTCCAGAAAGTAGTGCTATGGGAGTGATTGCTCTGCACCATGACATTTATGACATAGAGTTCTGCAGGACTCTATTTTATCCCCAAGTTGTTTAACATCTATATGAAACCACTGGATGAGGTTATCTGGAGGTGTGGGCTGAGATGTCACCAGTATGCTGATGACATTCAGTTCTACCTCTCTTTTTCTTCTAAAACAGGTGAAGCAGTGGCCATTCTGATTCATAGTCTGGGCTTGATAATGGATTGGATGAGGGACAATAAACTAAAGCTTAATCCAGATAATACAGAAGTACTGTTGGTTGAGGGAACCTCTGTCCAGATGGGATATTACACCTGTCCTGTATGGGGTCACACTACCCCTAAAAGATAAGGTTTGTAGTTTAGGAATGCTCCTAGACACTGAATTATCACAGGAATTCCAGTGGATTTAGTGGCTAGGAGCACCTTTTATTAGGTGGCGCAGTGGTTTAAACCGCTGTGCTACTGGGCTGGTTGATCAAAAGGTTGCCAGTTCAAGTCTGCACAATGGGGTGAGTTTCTGTTGCTCCGTCCCAGCTCCTGCCAACCTTGCAGTTCGAAAGCATGCAAATGCAAGTAGATAAAAAGGTTGCACTTCGGTGGGAAGGTAACAGCGTTCCGTGCACTTCGGAGCTAGCCACATGCTGCTAGCCACACAGTTGCTAGCCACATGACCGCAGAAACTGTCTGCGGACAAACGCTGGCTCCCTTGGCTAGGAAACTGAGATGAGCACCACCCCCTAGAGTCTAACATGACTGGACTTTAATGTCAAGGGAAAACCTTTACCTTAGGCTGATTTACCTACTATGACCTTACCTGGACAGGCAGAACCTTGCAACCTTGATTCACACTCTGGTAACATCCTGTTTGGATTATTGATTATTGTATTTTGGGCTGCCTTTGAAAAAGGTTTGGAAAATTCACTTGGTCTAGAAGAGTCCAGCAAGGCCTTTGACTAGGACTAGTCAATACAAGCATATAATGCCAATCCTCTACCAACTGGCTACCAGCTGAAATCCAGGTATAACTGAAAGTGTTAAAGCCCTTAATGACTTGGGGCCAGGTTGTCTAAAGGACTACCTCTACCCATACATGTCCACTCATGCCCTAAGTTTGTCATCTGAGGTCCTTCTCAGCCCTTTCTGAAGGAAATGAGGGTGGCTACAAGGAGAAGGGCCTTCCCAGTAGTGGCACCCTGACTCTGGAATCAGCTCTGCAAAGAGGTTTTTCTGTGTTTGTTGTTAATTTATAATTGTAATATATTTGTTTATTTATAGCATTTTAAAAACTATAAAAACTATAATAAGATTATAAACAAAGGGACAGATTTACTTGAAATCTGTGTTTTGTGTCACATCTGAAAATGACATTTAAGATCCATTGAGTTCAGTACAGCAAAAGGTTCTGTCTTAAATCAAATGTTTCTTCAACTTTGAGTCCTTTTAATGAGGGAGAAAGGTTTTATGGACTCCTATTGCCTTGCTTGGAAAAACTGTTTTTAATTGGGAAATAAAATAATCTAGGCCTGCTGAGATGGCAGTTGCACAAATGCAATCAGAGCTGTTGCTGAATCAAGCTATGTTTTAAATACCTGTTTGACTCCTGAAGTAATCTTGTGAGTGTAATTGTATCCGGACACTTATTAGCATATACTTTAGAAAATGCAACTAAGCTTCCACAGGAAATAGTCTCACCTTTTTCCCCTCTACAGATTTGAATATCTTTTTGATTTTGATAATACTTTTGAGATCCATGATGATACTGAAATCTTGAAGAGAATGGGAATGTCACTTGGCCTGGAGGAAGGCAAATGTTCACCAGAAGACTTAAGAATTGCAAAATCGCTAGTGCCTAAAGCATTAGAAAACTATGTCACAGGTAAGCTAATTGTCTTTTTTGCCTATTGCAGATGAAATGCAAGTCCTCAGCTTGGTGAAGTATTCTAATGATATCAGATGGGAGTTCTTTACTGAGTGATTTATGAAAACTAGCAGAACTGCACAACTAATTTCTAGCTCTAAAATTAACTTTCTGGAGTTTAGAGTTTCCAAAACTTGTTAACTAAGGTGTTTGAATGAACTTTTGTTCAAAGTAATTCCATTAATAATTCCTACTTCTACCCAGTTACTTAATATTTTTAATACCATATGAAAAAGTGTGCTGCATAGTTGCAATACTGGAATCTAGTAAACATCCAAATAATAAAAAGTTATAGAATGGGCTCTGTCTGAAGTTAGGCTATGAACCAATAGGCAAAATTGGGAAAGAGATCAATAGTAATAGCTGACTTACTACAGTAAGATGTTTCTAGTTAGAACAAAATCTAATCTGACTGAAACAAGAAGTCAGACTGGGCTTGATCATCTTTTGGGCACACCATAGCTTACTACATAAACAGCACACATTTATAGCTTAATTGTAGGATGACTTAATGTGTCATGGAAACTCTTCAAGTAACTTCAGCCCAGTATGGTTTTCTAGAATGTCAAATCTGAAAAAATATTTACACAATGGGGGTACATATGAAATTAGAAGAAATTGTAGGTGTTGAGAGGAAATCCCTCTCAATACAGTGAAGAGTGACTTCAGTCATGGCTTGTCCTTGAATATGAAGCATTTGTCCCACGTGTACTGAATAAAGCTTTGAGGTCCTGAATGTTGGATGGCTGTTAAATTTATATGAACATACCTCTTTTGTATCTCTGTATTACCTAGAAAGTATTATGGAAAATATTGTATTATGGAAAGTATTGTATTATCCAGAAAATATAAATATAGGTCTTTATTTTGTGTGTGTATAGAAAGAGGCTCACCTTCTCCTCTGCATCTAAAATATCCTGAGGAAAAAAGAATGGCAGTTCTATTTGATTAATTTAGTAAGATACCTCAGATGTTAACATTTCCCTTTCTTTGGAACAACAAAAGGTGCATCAGACCTACGCAAATAATCCATTGTGTCACTTCAAAGACTTTCCAGATAATTCATTCCACTCAATCTATGATGTAATTCTACTTTCAAAGGGATTTTTCCTTGAAAAGTTCATATTATGTTGGAGAGGTTTTGACTGAAAGATTAATCCAGCTTGTGACTCCTGATAAGTTGGGTAGACAACATTTTTTGTCTTCAAGGATGTCCTGAATAATTGAGAGCTTTTCAACTAAAAAATTAAATCCTATTCCATTTTACAATACAATTAACTAGCTAGGTAGAAAATTAACTAGAATTTCTTTTTGTTATGTCTGAAGTTACATGTTCCTAAAGGTTTGCTTAATCTCTGAGAGACTATCGAAGTACTACTACTACTACTATTACTATTGTTATATTACATTTATATCTCACCTTTTCTCCCCCTGTAAGGAAGCTAAGGTGACATACGTAGCTCCATTTTATCCTACAGCCCTGTGAAATAGGTTAGGCTGAGAGTGAGTGACTGTCCCAAAGTCACCCACTGAGCTTTGTGGCCAAATGGGGACTAGATACGGGGGAAGAATGAAAAGTCTACAACAGTAACATGAAATGTGTGCATAGATCAACAAACGCTTGTTTAAACCGAAGTATAGAGACTATAGAGAGAAGGTTGTGCCAGTTCTAGTGAAAAATAGATAAGTTTTTACATGGTTATTTATGTACATAAGAATTTATTTATTTTGCTAAAATGTTGCTTTCATGTTAGAGTTTAACTTTTAATGATATATTTACACAAATCAGCATGGTATTATAGACATATTTGTGTTTAATATTCATAACAAACCTGGGTGTGAGTACAGAAAATAGAGATAGTGCACACTCTGCTCACAATGGCAAATGTGGTTCAATAGAGTAGAATTGGGCCAAAAAACACCAACTTCAAGAATGCATTTATGGGATCTGAACTAGCAGAAAGGGATCTGGAGGTAGTGGTGGACAGCCTGATAAAAATGTCACCCCAGTGTTCAGTGGCTGTGAAGAGGGCAAACTCCATGCTAGGCAGAAGTAGAAATGGAACAGAAAATAGAACTGCCAGAATATAACTTCCTTTATACAAATCTTTGGGGTGGCTGCACTGGGCATGCTTTCTTAATTTCTGGTCACTTCACCTTAAAAAGGACATTATTGAGTTGGAAAAAGTACAGAGAAGGGCAGGAAAAGTGATCATGAGACTGGAACAATTCCTCTATGAGAAGCGATTATGACAACTGGGATTTTTCATCATAGACAAAATACATTTTTCTCCCTCTCCCATAACACTTGAACCTGGGGTCATCTCATGAAGATGATTGGTGGGAGGTTTAAGACACACAAAAGGAAATTCTCTTTCACACAGTACATAGTTAAACTATGGAATTTGCTGCCATGGGAAATGGTGATGGCTACCTGTCTGGATGGCTTTAAAAGGGGTTGAACAGATTCATGAGGGTGGAGGCTGTCAGTGGCTACTAGCTTTGCTGGCCATGTGCTACCTCCTTTAGCAGAGGTGCCATGGCCTGCATATACCAGTTGAGTAGCTTGAACTGGAGGAGGTTTTGCATCCACCCTGCTTAAAGAATCCTATGGGCAGCTGGTTTGCAACCATGTGTACAGAGTACTGAACTAGATGATCCAGCATGATTTTTCTTACATACTTAATGCAGTTACCTAAACTCATGTACAGTTTGTACACTGTATTAGAAAGATGGTAGAATCTTAGAGTCAAGATAGAGCACCCCAGGTCCCTGTACCTCTAAATGTCATGATAGAACCTATGAAAGCAGTGAATGTTTAAAATTCTAGATGTATATCTTGGTGATGCCTAGATCAGGAGTGACAACTTGTGGCCCATTAGATGTTTGGGTCTATAATTTCTACCTTCTTCAGTATAACCAATAAAGAGGGTTGGAAGAAGCTATAGGCTGGAAATTCTAGAAGACCACAAGTTGCCCACCTTTGGCCTTGAGTTAGGGAAACAGTATGGATCTGATCAGAAAAAGTAATAAGCATCTGCTGATGCATGTTCACTCCATAGAGATTTTAAATAGCAGGTGCACTGTGTTGGCTTATAATTGACTTCCTGTTTTCTTTTAGATATGTCTGCAGGAGTTTGTTGGATGAACCGGGAGTTAGTTTTTAATTCTGTTCAAGCAGATTCTCCTTTGGGCAAAGCTGGGGATACTGCTATTTTTAAGTCAAGGTAAATGTTGAATGGATGATTTGGTTCTGTGTTTTCAATAAGCTGAAATTGCCTTGTGGCAATAGCTAAGCCCAGACCATTTATTTCAGTAAGTGTTAAGTCAAACCAAAGCACCTCGGTTTGCCTTTTGTGAGATCTATTTCTGGCTTAAATTCTACACTGTGAGTGGATTAAGTTTAATGTGCATGTAGGGGTGAAATTAAACAGATATAATATACATTTTGATGATTGGGAAAAGTGACATTGTAGTCTCACCCCTAGATTAGTGGCTGGCTCATTTACATACGTATAAACATAATCAGTTAGTGTCTAATCAGTTGATTTACTTAACATTTAATGTGACTCAATGCAATGTATGAACTCTAAACATCTTTGAAAAGTATTGTTTCACTGGACTTTGAGCCACTCACAATTTCTGTCTGTAGAAATATATTTGTAACAGTTTAATTACACTTGCGGCTCCTGGATTAATTCTGCAGTTGAGGAAAGGTGAAAATACATGTGTGAAGCAAGCCAGTGGTAGTGGAGTTTAGGAAACTTAAAACAAATTGAAAATGCTATTAAACATGTAGCATTTCATTCTGATGAATGGATTCTTACTGCTTTTTTGATAGTGGAAATCCAGAACTGTGCCTGGATGCTGAGGTAGCCTTAGCAACAGGACAACTGCTGGCCCCCAGCAGTCAGCAGTCCAGCAGTGCAACATCTCACTACTCAGAGTCGCGTGGTGAAACCCCCTGTTCATTCAATGATGAAGATGAGGATGAAGATGATTCATCTTCACCGGAATAGACACACACCAGCCATATGAAATGCTGCTCTTGTGCACTATTTGTGTGAGCTTAAGTTCATTATCTAGCTTTTTTATATATTTTGCCTCTTTGCCATATGTATTTTGTTAATGTTTGGAAAAAGATTTATCCAATGTCATAATGAAAGTTGCTTATGTTAAGTACAGTCAGTGTACTTACACATAGACTTTAAAGAACATGATTCAGAGCTTGAACCTATGCACAGAAGATACAATGTGGAGGCCTCCAAACAAGTAAAAGGACTCTCTGGTGTGACACTATTCAATGCCATTGGTACCTGGATCCAGTCTACAGGAGCAATATGATTCTTTTTTCCCCTCTGCCCCCATACCTGCACAGCAGACTGAGCCTCAGTCTTGAGTCTTTGTGCATAGGTTGCTCTTTAAATTGCTTGGGGCATCAGCAGCTGTGTATGTATGTGTTAATCCTTGTTGGAGGTTGCCTTTTGGAGTGGGAGCTAGAAGGGGGCCTGGCCAGCTGGATGTATAGCAGCCTCTTTGGCCAAATGGTTTCACAATTCTTCTTTGATCCAGGATGGCTACTTCTGTCTCCCAGACCTCTTCCCAGCTTTTCTAGTCTCAGACCCTGTTAAAGCATGTAACAGATAACACAATTGGGTGCTATCCTTCAACATACTTTTGACATTTGGTGTACAATTGTAGACGTGCTGTAGCAAGCTCACACTCAGAGCAGTTGGATTAGCCAAAAGTGCCTTTCCTTTTTCAGTCAAGGAGTAGAACACCTCCCAAAAAGGTCTGGCAGAACAAAAACTACAGTGCAGAGGAAAGAAGCATGCACCATTCTGCATTTTATATCATGGAATAATGCTTCCTTGGTTGCCCTCTTTTGCCCACATCACCTAAGATGTTCACTGTTTCCTCTTGTGGTAATATTTTACTATATTTTTCAAAGAAACAAAATATATTTTAAACTACGATGTCCAATATAATTATGGTGGAGAGGATATTGATGTATGTTTTGTACTAACCAGCTTCTTATGTACAGAGGTAGTAATATAAATTGATGTAGCCAAAGTTTGAGGATTTCTGCTCTAAGTTTATTCCTGGTTTATCATTAGTATTTCAGTATTTTACAGTTTTCCCCTTCTATACATTAGTGGAGCAACATTTGGAGTATTTTCTGTCAATCTCTTCTTTTTTAAATAAAAATATATATTAAAAAGGGTTTTAAAAATGATAAATGGAATTTAAATTATACCAAATTATACCATTCAGTTTTCCATCTTTATCAAATTCAATGTTTAGATGATAGATAAGGAAGCATGTAAAATTGCTAAAATGGCAATAAAACTGATTTTCAAATGTTATATGCTAAACGCATGAAATGTTGCAAATATTTTGATGCAACACTTTTTAGAGGATTAAAAAATAAAAATTGTGGTAACATTTGTAATCTCAAGTTTTACAGAATGATCTATAAAATCATAACAGTCTGTTACTGTAAAACAGCATTGATAGGGAAAGTAAGTATTGAAAGTCACAACATGGACGGAAACTAATATGATTATCATAATAACCTAAAGGCCATCTTTAGTTGGATTTTTTAAATATTAAGCAGTTTCAGCCAAAAATACTGTGATCGAGTTCTGAGAAAATAAAAGGATATTTTAAACCTTGGGATTTAGTGAACTAATTTCATCCCAAAAATATTTCATCCACATATGAATTTCAATTTTTAAAGGAGCAATTCTACTTCAGTCTTTGGAGTACATTCCCACCTGGAAACTAACAAGAGTCTGTTTCGGTTTTTAAAATCACAGTGTGAGATTTGGCAAATCATTACCTAGCCTTTGGTGTATCTCAAATGGAGGATTTTTCCAAGTTCCAGGCATAAGGTTCCAAATAGCGCTGTAGCTGAACAGGCCATACTGTATCAAAATGCTGGCCAGATGAGGATAGGAGTGCTTATCTCCTTAATTCAGAACATTAAAAATATGGTAGGGTAAAAATTAAATCATTTTTACTTTCACCCTAGCTTTCTCATGTGCTTGTTATGTTCTCTCTTTCTCATCACTATATATTATAGTAGGAGATGCATATTTTTCATATTAGTCTGCTTATGTATGAATAAAATGAGGCATTGGGATTCATAGCTCCCCAATTCTGCAAGCTATCCTTCCAGGGGCATTCTCCCAGCCATCCAGTATGAGGTGTTGGCATTCTCCCAGCCATCCAGAGGAGATTTGGCTTCAACCATTTGGATTTGAAATCTTACCTCATTCCTCACTTCATTCAAAACTGTAACTCATGTTTAAAGATGCAGATCTGCCTTTGTTATTTGGGCCTTATAGCAAAGTGAAATAATTAATATTTAATTACTTGTTAATTAAAATTAATGTTTATTATGTAAAATATAGGATACACTGCTATGAGTTGGATTTTTAAGAATGTGGGAAATGATACTTACCGATGCTGCATTTATTCTAAAGCAGTATTCTCCTCTTTTGTATGACACAGCTGTGCCATACCTAATGCTACTGTATTCAGAAAACAGAAGCATATTCACTGCTGCACCTTCTGCTCTCAAACTTGTGAAATAACAGCCTACATAAATCAATAGAGCCATCTTGATTTGTGGGACAGATTTGCAGACTCATTTTCATCTGTGCAAATGGGCACAATGGTGGTAGAGTATAGAAAGATGGTATTTCCCTTCTAGGCAAGCTGTACATGTTTTAATATAAACATATATTGTGCAGTATTGCACATGGTCTAGTTGTACACAGGACCTGTACTCATGTAGAAAGGGCAGTAAGGGCATTTAGTCCATGATTCAAACAGAGGTGAATACTTATCAGGAATTATAGAAACTGGTAATTGTGTGGTATTAAAAAATATCCACAACTATCTTAAATACTTTTAAGATCTAAAGTATATTCAAGAGCAAGTTTCTGAAACTTGCTGTGGACCTTTATATACTATAAAGTATTTTCAAATATCTTTTAAGTGCTTTTCATTGACCAAAATATAACCAGCATTGCATTGCATGCAGGTATTCTGGATCGCAATGTTAGAAAATACATATGGCAGGTAATCTGCCTAATTCCCCACATACAATTTTATATTTTTAACAAACATTTTATACTTTTTAGTGAAGAACCTTTGTGAACTCAAAGGTTCTATGAAACTATTGGTCTTGCACATTATTTCAAGGAGAAACATCTTCTGTACATTTATGCCTGGATAATTCAAATTCTGTGCCAAGACAAGTTGATTTCCATGCTAATATTCTCATGTGTGTTTTATTTTCCAATTATTTGCTTTTCTGAATAATTTATTTTGGTTTACTGAGGAAGGAGGGGCAAAGTGAAGCGGAGCAATAAAGTCCTGTTTCTATCACTGGAACTTTTGTTAAGTTCTGTACACCTATTACCACTTCCTACCACATCCTGTGGGTGTTCTCAATTTCAGTGAATTTACAGTATATGAACTATTCTAGCTATATCTGTTTATCAGGCTAATAATGAATCTTTGAATCAATAGTGCTCAGTCCAGTTCTTTTTTTTTAGCCATAATATTTGTGTGCAGAGTGTTGTTTCACAGAGCATAACAACTCTGTACTTTTCTTTTGGTGTGCACAGCATACATAAGAAACGACAGTGCATTCCATGACAGTGATATCGGAGAAGCACAAAAATATCCTATTCTTTATATTGTTATGCTTGTAGGAATCCCACCACCAGCATGTGCCAGGATCATAGTAGAACTGCACTGCGCCCTTACATTTCATCAAAGAATTTGGCAATCCAACTAAGAAAGAAATGAAATACGCCTTTGCCAAAGTGAATGTCCATAATGAATCAATGCTATAGAAGATCTTGTTTTTGGTTATGTTATTTCTGTACTTTAGTTTCAGAAAAAATGGAAGTATGGTGGAAACATTCAAATGTTTTTAAAAATAACACATATGAGCCAATCAATATATGTATGTTCTGCCTTTGTGAGATTTTGCTATGGACGGAAGAAAATAAGAGCCCAATCTGAAAGGCTCTTAATAATGCTCTTAAACTGGAGCCATTATTTGATGGGATATTTTATGTCTTGTTTTTATGAAAAATGTAGTCCATTTATTCTTGATTCTTTAATAAAATAGTGAAATTATGGTTTTCTTTATGCACATGTTGCTTAGCACTAATACACTCCTAAGAACTGTAGCAGCATGGAAACTTATCACATAATGCAGTTATTCATGTGGCTAGCTCCTGTACCCATGAAGCAGCTACCATGCTATCTCAACACTTAAAATAGTTCAACACATTGTGACAAGTTTAATTTCTAGTTCATAATTGAACTTGTAGAAGATTTAATGTTTCATGAGCTACTTGATAAGTTCTAATTATGTTTCATTGCTGCTTTGTAAGAAACCTGCTGAATTTTCACTTTATTTTTTGGCTTTTTTGATGATTTTTATTTATTACCACATAATATTTGCAGTTTGTGTGGCTAACTGAGGAAGTCTGATAAAGCTGGTAATATTCTATGTGTCTTAAGAGACAGATGACAGTTAAAAAGAAGTGCATATTCTTTTACTGTCAGATAATTGCTGTTAGAACATAGGATGTAATAGGAAAATGTAAATTTATAGTATCATACACTTTATAAAAAACCCCTGTTATTTTTTTATGGAAATTTTTATATAAAAATCTATTTCTGTATATTTCAAGTGATCCTGTATTTTATTAAGATGCTGCAAGTGAGATTGTCCACAACAGGGCAAGTATTTGCATCTGATTGAAATGAAAAGCATGCATTCTCTGAAGAAAAATAATTTCCAGCTGTTTGTGACCTGAGAAGTAAAACTAAACTGTAGAACAGAATAAAATAATTTAAAGACAACTGGGGTTTCTCTTGTTTTGAAGGAAAACATTGGAGCAGAGGAAAGCTGTCAAAGGTTAGTGTTCATTGCATGTGTTCTCCATTTCAGAAAACACGTCATACGGAGTAAACTGCAGGGGACAGAGGGTCAAGTTAATTTGTTGTTTTCAAAATAAGGATAAAGCATCACTAATTTCAGCACTTCATAGATTATACTGCAACATCCAATTGATCCATTACTCTTCTCAATTTCTGATTAGAAAGGGGATAGTTAGTTTAAAAATTAAGTGAATCCTTTGAAAGAGTTAAACATAGATAACATGGGCTTATTTTCCCATTCTTCCTAATGAGGAACTTACATTGTTTTCATGTGCTAGTGTATCAGATTGCCTTGTTTAAAGTGGATGTAAAAAAAAAAAACCCAAATAGTTTGAGTTCTGACAACTTGCTAATCCACACTCAAGGGTTGTTTAAAACTATGGTATATTGTATTCTGTGAGCCAAGTATGCTACCAAAGCATGGTTTGTTGCACTATTCATGGAAAGAACCTGTGGGTTATTTGGGGTTAGTAAACCATCATTTGTGAGTGCAGCTGGGTTCATCCAACATGATAATTCATGTTTCAACCCTTGAATGTGGGTTATTGTGTTTTGTGACCCCAGCCGGACTGGGTTTCCATGACTTAGTATACCATCATGGGTAACTAGCCATGGGTAGCTTGTCATATTGTCTGAAGCCAGATCACTACCCACAGACTGAATCATTTTTAACAAAAAGTCATTCTGCTAATTTGTGGTGTGTTCTAGGGATTGTAAGACCCATAATGGATTGCCATGTGTTTTGAACCTGGCACTCTTGAGCCCATCATAGGTTTCAGGAAGTAGCTAGTGAACTGCTCTTGCTGAACCTACCTGTGCCACCACCAGTGACAGCTCTTTCACCATTGCCCAAGTGGCACCTTGGAGTTACCATTCATGGTTCACCACCTTTTAAAACTCTATTTATTGGCATCACATTGTGCTTGTGAGTTCTAAAAATTCTTACTATTTAATCTGTTTCTTAGAGTTGTTTAAGTGCAGCCTTTTACCTTTCTGCTCTATATAATCTTGCCTGATTTATTACCTTATCAGTTACAGCTGTCAAGTGCCTGACTGTCAGTAGGACTTCAGTGGCAGATGGGAAAGAATCTGCAAAGGTAAGTACACCAAAAAGGAACGGGTGCTAGATCTCTCCCTTTGTAAAATAATCCTCTGGGTTTTGTGTGTCTTGAGGCAAGCATTTAAGTCTTACCCATTTTCTTCTGCAGCCATGATGTGTTCTTGAAAACTGGACAGATTATCTGTTCTCCCCAACCTCAAGCTTGTAGGTCAAGCTTACTGTGGAATTGTATTAGTTTCTAAGGTTCTAGTGGCTCTTGTTACATTGTGCAGAGGGAAAAACACTACCTTTTAAAAATAATACCTAACCAGTATTGCATGTGTTCGTAAGCCTATGCGCGAATGTTTGTAGCTACTACAAGAGCTGGACACAGATCCATTATGTACAGGCATATTGCTCTGACTTCCATCACAACTAACATTTTAAGGCCCAACATCTGCACTCCAGTAGTGGTTCAGGTCAAGGTACCATCTAGTGTAACGGTCACAAATGGCAGTTTACAGAAACAATTTTTATTTAGCATATGAAGCAAACATAGGCCCTCCTGCTTCCTATAAATTGCAGTCACTGCTTGTTAAGCCTCTTCTTCCTTGAACCGACAGCTGCTGGTGTCCTAAGAAATTTACTGTTTCATTTGGCACTCAGTGCATGCTATTTTTCCCCTGCTTTTTTAAAAAATAGTACTGCTAGTTCTAGAAACTGCTGGAGCTGTTTCCAATAGGGTGCTTTTCACCTGGTTTGTCCACAGTTGCAAAGGTCTGACCTGCCTTGTTTGCCCCATTGTGTCATGTTACACAAGTAGATGAAAGAAAGTTTACTTCATGTAGTTGACATCAGGTTGAATGCATATGGATAAAATGGGTGCTGATGTTCAGCTAACCTTGGTTAGATTGCTGGCAGGATGCACCAAAGTGCGAGATGGATTTATGTCCATGTAGCGAATCCTGAAGCAACGGACCTTGATAGACTAGTGTGAAGCTGTTTGTGGACTGTTCGTGGCCTTTGTAATATAAGAGTAATTATATTGCAAGATGTTCGTGTTGAGGCCTGCTGCAATTTGAGTTTAATTTTGCACTGGGATAGAAATGGTCTTTGTGATTCAGAGGAAAGCAGTGGAAATGTGTGTGTGGGAGTCAAAATAAAAATGAATACATTGTACACCATATACTGTATATTCATTAAATTCTGCTTCAACCCCACATGGTACATAGATGGCTAGTTTTGAACAATATCCTTTTTGAAAGGTCCAGTCTTGGAGAGGCAGCATAAATGAAAACATGCAGGATCACCTGTATAGTAAGTGTGATATATGTAGGGATTTTTTAGGACTTAGTCTTAACTCTACTGGAGACATTAGATCCTGTACTTGTGAACATTTTTTTTAATTCTAGTGGTAAAATCATTTGTGTATTACAATGCAAATATGAAACATGGATTTGATTTTCCCATCTTACCTATGCTTGGCTTGTGGGTCTTCAGACTCTCACCCTCTCTTTCCTCTTTTTCTTGATAAGAAATTCTCTAAAGTGCTTTTTTATCTTTTATTTTGTGCTTTTATCTGTAGCCCACTGTATTTAGACAACATTCAAGTGATTCTGAAAATGTTTGCCTAAAGGCATAAAACTACTCCAAAATAATTATAAGTAGATTGTATGTTTGCATATCTTTTGGTGGTAATGCACAATTTGCAATGGATATTTGGGCTACAAGAAAGCTGCTGTAGGGATTGTACTAAATTATTCCATGTTCTATCATCCAAAGGAAACCAATGGTGCAAGTCTATGCATGTTTACTTAAAAGTAAATTCCACATGAGTGTCAGAATGCAGCTTAAATCCAGCAAAACTATCTCTGGAACTTCTTGGAAAAGTGGAGGGGATGGAACCTTATGTGCTCTGTTTCTGTTGAACAACAGATATTTTGTATAGAGAAAACTTGGCAAATCTTTATGCTAGCAGAGAGCTATTACATTCAGAATATTCTAAGCTTTTCTGCTACTTATATCTTGCAGGTAAATAGAAAACTAACATTGCAAAATAGTATAGGCATTGCAAAATAGTATAAAGAGGGATTATTTGGATCTCTTATATATTAATTTGGTAAAAGATAGCCATAGTCTTTTACCTCATGATGTGGATTATCACTGAACCAAAGGTTGCTGACGGAGAAGAACACACCTCACTCAGCTGCCAGAGTTCTATTGCCACAAGTGCACAAGAAAGTATCACTGATTTCAACTCCCTTACTTGCTAGCTAGGTAACCAGGGTCTCAATCCAGGTGCATTGTCTCGAAAAAGATGGCTGTTAATTGCATTTCAGGCAGGTAAATACAGTCATGCTTATAGCAGACCCATTCAACTCAATGCAGCAAGAGTCCAAATCCAACCGTATATGTGTATCTACTCAAGTGCATGGCATTTCTGCAACAACATAGTTTGTTTCAACTTTTTAATTCATACTAGAATTTTAGAGGAAATGAAAAATAGGATGTTAAATCTCTCCTTGAGGTAACTTTTTCTAGAACGTCTGTTTGGTTGGTGTATGGAAGCAAGGTACAGAGTAGAAGTTTATAAGGCAGATTTTGCAGCGCAAGTATTAGCACAGAAATTGCTGATGGGGAGAAGAGAAAAACATTATGAACACATTTTGCTACATTTATGCTTCATACATGCAACATACTTTAATATCTCAGCATGTCTTTGTGCAAGGAGGTCCAACTGCCAGCCCACAGGCCAACTCCAGTTTCCCAAACAATCTAATCCATCTTAATATATTGGTTACTGTGTTTGAACACTTTATGAAACCCTTTTAGCTAGATATGGTAACTTTATTATTCATACGGTCCTGACTCCCTCTTGCTCCAGTAAACATTGACCTTCCTTGTCCTAGAAAAGAGCAAAGATTGTACATCAAATTACGTCAATTTTTGTTTGATGATCTTTTGCTGGTTAGTTCTATTTTCTGTAAAAATGAATATTTTAAAACAGCTACTTCATAGCTCCAGTGAAGAGAAGGGGAAAGGCAGTTATCTTCTAAGGATTATAATAAAAAAATGAGAAGGCACAGGAAATGAGTCAGAAAATTGAGCTCTAATTAACCATTTGTACTTTTGAAATGTTTGCTATTTATTTGAATACCACCACTCAACAATACCTAGTACCACAAGCAGAGACAAGTTAGAATGGAGTTATCTTGTCTCATAGCATAGGTAATATAATTACAAGGATCAAGTAGTAGTTACAGTAAGGGTGTGTGCTTCCTGGAACATTCTGAAACCAGTACTAAGACTTGCTCTAAACCTTGATGCCAAAGAGCGATGCCCCAACCTGCAGGTATAGGTTTGGCATCTGGTAGCCTAGGATTACTCAAAGATAATCCAATTAAGGAGTCAAAATTACTTCCGTGAGAGTTTGATTTATTATTGTGGTTGAAGCAAAGGAATTATGTTACATTTTTGTTAGAAGAAAAATATATTGCTACAGCATCCTCTTGTATGACTGCACATCCTTCTATCACTCTTGCTTTAAAACATGTATGATCTTCCATGTTTCTGTAGCTCTGATTTCCCAGTGTGTATTTTTCTATAATGCTATGTGACTAATTCATGTTATGATTGCTTAGGCAGTATTCTGGTTATGTCTGAGAGGAGGCAAGAAGTTACTGTAGGAGTGTCAGCAACTGCCAGAGAAAATATGAAAATGGTAGGAGAGATGCTTAAGTGACACTTGAGGATATATGGATAAAGTGGCAGAAAGGTATTGGATGCCAAAGGAAAAGAAATGTACTGTCATTGTGCAAGGCAAAGCTTTCAAGTCTACTAACATTACTAAAGGCACTGCATTATGTAGTGATGGCTGTGAAAT